GGGAACGTGGGAATGGGAACAAAAAAATTCTTTTAGGGAATGGGAAAAAGGGAATGGGAACAAAAATTTTTTTTTAGGGAATGGGAATCAGAAAAAGTCGTTCCCGCAGGACATTACTGTCTAGCTAAAAAAGGACATTGCTTGATTAAAGTCAAGCAGAAGATTTTTCGAACACAAAAGAATCGAACTTATTCATTCGAAATTGTTTTTAATGTTTTCATATATTCTACATCGATAGACATCATTTGTTTAAAATAATGATGAAAATAAATCGTAGTCGTCAGGAAAAATCAGGCATTTTTTCTGTAAAAGTGAGTCTTGTCCTTTATTACATTTTGAATACTACTATATCACATTTTAACAAATTAGAAAATTATTAAAATAGTACCAACGAAATTTAAGCTATGATTTGACATTAATGGGTCATTTTTCTTTTATTGTCAACGCTGTAAAAAATGTGTTTTTTTTTTAGTGAGTCTAAAAACGTTGCTGACTGTATTTAAGTAATGTTTTCATGATAACTCTTTCCATGAACAAAGTTAAAAAAAAACAAATTTCACTATCGTAAGATCTATTGTCTTAGTTTCAAACATAAATGAAAATATTTTGTTCACAGAGAGAAAATTATCAACAATAAGTTATTAAGTTCAGCCAAATGAAATGAAAAGTTTAATTAAATTAGAACTTTTCTATATCTTGCAGTAGTGTAAGTTTCAGCTCTTTGATAAATTAAATTAGTAAGTTATGACAATCCGAAGGTAAGAAAAATGTGATTGTGTTACCTGTGAACATGCCGTAATTAATATGCTCTAATACATAAAAGAAAACAATCCAGACTTCAAATGCAGTTTCATGCTGTTAAACATATAATTATTTCAGATGTAAAATCGTCAAAAAACTAATTATTTTCGATGAAAACAATACATTTATCATTGAATATAATTATAAATGAATATAATGAAACTATTCATATTGAATTGAAAAAGGTAAACGATTTACACATTACAATCGTCTTAATTGTATGTTGTAATATTTGTAAAAGATGAAAATGTTAAAGCATGATGTTTGTTAGAAAATCGAATAATAAATTTATTATGACGTACTTAGATAAATTAGAAAATATAAAAGAAAAAAATTATTTTTTTTTTATTTCAAAAGCATATTCTTTCGGTAAGTTTTATTCAAATATTTGAAATCGAACGTAATAATTAATTCAGACAATGATCACTGGATTTCGAAATGATAACAACAATATAGTCAATATTTCATTCCTACATTGTCATTCTAATAGATAAATAAAATAGACAATTATAAATACATTCAGAAAAAAAAACATTTAAACAAAACTCTCATGTTGATCGGAACAAAAAGATGTGAAACAAGTAGTTACGAACCGAAATGGCGGAACATTTTTAAATTGGATGAAACTCAGTGAACTTTTATTTGTTATCTTAAAAAAAAAACCTTTTTGCATATTACATTGATATCAAGCTGAAAGAGATTTAGGTAATACACTACTTCAGACTATTCAGCTGTATTTTAGTCATAAAAAACCTGTTGCATTATTTCGCTGTGTTCTTTGCTTGAAAAATTCTTTCTAGCTAGACTTTTTGATGAAATTTTAAAAAATAGTTAAATCTTTTTTTATGATATGGAATGAAGTAAGTAATACCACAAAAGAAAAGATAGATGCTTGCATGCGACTAGCTAGTTTTATTTCTTTTAATCAAATAATTCTACGATTGATCTCTGTTACATACGAATTAATGTACATAAAATAAACATGCTCGTAAAAACTATGACGAGATTGTATGTAACTTTTATAGCTACATCAACTTTTTAGTTTTCTCCATCACAACAGCTATACAAACATTTTAAAAATTCCAACCTGTGCACTAGAATAAGATTCACCTAGCCAAACAAAGCTAAGCTTGAGTATAACAAAACTTTAGCATCTTAATTCGGATGAAGCTGAGTCTAATAGTACCGAATTTGGATAAGGCTCAGGTCTTACCCAGTCTTCACATTCTGCCGCTAATGAATAGGAACACTTAATAATCGCTATATAGAATAAAACTTCGATAGACATCAACATCTAATACGTTCATTTCGTATAATTTTCATACAAATAGTTACTTTTTACAGTTATACTATATAGATATATATATATATATGAATTTCTTTAATGTAATAAACATCTGAAGATTTCACAAATGTGAAGATAGGAAAATATTTCTATGACTGATATCATAAAGTCATGAGAGAATGCATTAAATTATGAAAAATAAGTTCTCGTTCGCTATTACGTAGTGTACATTCGTGAGAAAAGGAATCACTAATGTAATAGATGCAAATGCGATATGATTTTGAAAAAAAAAAACAAGTTTTATTGAACAGTAAAAGCAATTAAGATTGATCAAACTTAAAAATATGTCATATGTGCCATAATGTCTAAGTTTAAAAAAAGAATTCTTTCAAATCATTTTGCTAAGATAATAAGTCAACATGACTACCCATCAATCGCCCACTCATAAGATAGATTTAAACTCAGCAGTAGACATAGCTGAATCAGATGAAATCTTTCTTAGACTTATCGACATGAAAATTTGTGTAAAAGGTGACAGTGGAACATATCTTAAAAAGAAAAACATCAAACAGTAGAAAAAAATAATTCTTCAATTAGATGTTAAGCAACAGTACATGAAGTTGTGTTTCTACATATAATATTCATATTAATATAAAGTTTTCATATTCAACATTTAATTGATTAATATTAAGTGATTGACGTGAAGAAAATACTATCAGTAATTCCTATAATTCTGTAAGGCCTACATAGAAGTGGTTCCTATAAGCTTTGAGGAATACCTAGTGATGTCGCTTAGGTTAGAAGAGGGAAGTTACAGCTGCCGAATAATTACGTTACCAAGTGACTTGTAACGGAGCCGTTACTAGGTAACGGTAGCGGCAATTACTCAGTAACTGTTACTTTCCTTCTCTAGCCTACGCAACATTTCTAAGTAGCCTTTAAAAAGTTAGAAATTATCGATAGTATTTTCTTCACATCAATCACTTAATATTAATTAATTAAGCATTCATTGAAAAAACCAAATATTAATATTAATGACTAAGTGATCCAATGACACTTAATATTAAGTATTAAGTAATAATTTTAAGCTTAATTTTAAATTAAGGTAAATGGTCCATCTCCATTTTTAGACTATTAAACGTTTTGTGTTGTTTTTATTCATAAATATACATATATTTGAATATATTTAGAATTAGCATTGAATTCTCAACAAAATGAAATATTTAGTTTCTCTAAACTTCAACTTTGCTTTTTCTCGAAAACTTCTCCAGTCAAAAGTTTTTTTTTTACTTGAATTCTAATGAAAAATACATCATCGGATACAGAACTCGATCTTGATGACGAATATCTGGTTGCTTTTGATTTCGTTTTTTCTGTCATTCTAATGCAAACCGCGTTTTGTTTTTGAAAAAAAGATAAAATTCTGTAATGAACAGTATTTTTAATTTTATTATTCAATGTTGATATGCTTTGTTAAGAAATTACTTGATATGTTAAAAAGTGAAGAATTTTTATATCGAATGCTTATGTCTATATCGCTTTGTTTCGTAGTAAAACGCTAAACTCTTGTTCACTGAAAAAGTTATTGATTATAATCGAACTATTATGTGACAAAATCAGAATTATAATCTATTTAGTAGGTTTTGACCATTCGGCTCCAAAAAAAGGATTTTTTTGATCTTTTCAAAACTTTGTAACGGACGGTCGACTGCTTTCAAATAGCTCAGCTCTGACTAAAGAAAAGTCAATGAATTATTTAGTGATAGTAGATCTAAATTGTTTCTATCTATGATAAAAGGTTTAGAAAGTTTGATTTTGTCATTGAGGACATCAAAATGTTACAATGTAAAATAAATGAAATTCTGCAATACCTAGTCACGCTGATGTGTCATTTATGATGATTATATCTACTATATTTTATTTGAGATAAGATGACCTTTAAGAAAAAAAAGTGTGGATTTCAAAATTACAGAGCTTTTTTGTCTTATTCAGTTACAGATGCTTCAGTACAGAAAAGAAAAGAAAAACAAAGCTTTTCTTTGCTTTTGAAGATACAAAACAGGTAAGAAAAGAAAACATGTGAAGCGTTCTTCAGTCATACATCGAGATAACAGTTCACATTTTTTTAAAATGATGTCAATATTAAGTCATTCAGATTACTCCACGAGAGGCCGGAATTTCGGCCATATGAAATTTTTGACTCGGATCGAAATTCCTTTGACACTTTCGGCCCCTCCTTAAACTGATCTCATTGGCCCCTAAAAGAAAAACTTTTTTTTTTCATTAGTTGCTAGATATAGTAGTGCTGAGCAGGATAACATAATGCTCAGCAAAATGGCGTAGTGCTCAGCAGGATGGCATAATGTGGATGTGAATGTATGGATCGGAGTGAATGTGGGTCTCTTTCTGGCAATCATCCACGGCTACCCTATGTCATCCTGCTCAGTATTACAATATCTAGCAGCTAATTAAAAAGATCAGATTTTTCTAGCAGTCGATGAGGCATTTTTAAGGAGAGGTTGAAAGTTCTAAAGAAATTTCCGATCAGATTTAAAATTCCGTGAACCAAAATTCCTGTAAGTCTACTTTACTAGGTTCTGGTTAAGCTTTAATCAATTGTCAGATTGATCACTCGTAATTAAGAATGATATGCCAGTTGCTTAAATCGACTTGTTTTATCTATGAAAACTAATCGTTTATGAGCATTCATCAATAACTATTGTTCATTATGATGAATTTCCACTTTTTATCGATGAAGTTCTTGACAATTAGTATAGTATAGAATCAGTTCGAATGATTTAGACTCGTCTTCATGCTTAATAATTATGATTCATCGACAATCAAATAAATATCAATTAAAATAGACTAGAAACAATCTATATGTAAGTTCTTTGTTTTCTTTCATCTATTTTAATTTAACTTTTACGCGCTTTAAGTAAGATGTATCAAAACTCTTTGAATAACCTGGATGAAAAAAAAGCTTCTGTGAAGCCTCTAGTTTAATATTGTAACAAGCGATAAATTTCAACATCACTATTTTGTTGTTCTCTATGAGGCTATATCGAAGATATCGAACAGCATAAGTATACGTTATCTTTGTTGTTTTGTTTTTGTCATTTTCTTTTTTTTGTTGTTCTAAACTTGTTGAATATAATAAATGAGAACAATTTTATTTTCAAAACTACTATGATATCTCATATTGAAGAAACGATGAGCCTATTGACTCTGCACCATCTTTTATTTTATGATCGATGATGAAATTACTGTAGTTAAAAGAATGCGTACTGATGTAATAAATATAGATATGACGATAAGGGTTCGACACGTATGATAAATACTACCTTGAATTACCTTTTATAGTAGTTAGAAAGAAAAGAAAAAAAAACTACCACTTAAAAATTGTTGTTCCCATTCTTGTTAGAGATCAACAAAATAGAAGAGAAAAAGAAAAATGATAAATGAGTCATACGTGGGAATAAAAAGGATAACAACATTCGCTTGACATGGGGGTTTTTGTGTCATTTACTTACTGTGTATACATCATGCATCTTGATTTAAATATCGTCTTTTACTTATCTATGGAAAACGAAATATTTATTAATTTTAATTTAGACCGTCTAAAAATGGGGCAAAATACATACGATCTAAATCATCACCAAGTACATCCTGATGATACAATTGAATCAACTCATAATATTCCAAAACAAACTACAACTGATGAAACGACTGCGTCATCTTCGTGTTGGTAGGTTTCAGATAGTTATAATTATTCATTCTATTCATTATTTTATTTTATTTATCAGTTCTCATCTGAGAGAAATTATAAAAAAAAAAGATCGTGAACATGAAGGAAAGAAAGGACCAGCAGAACTTGTCGGTTTTCTTAGTCTTGTATGTTATTTCATATTTGAGAGAAATACTAATATAGAATGAATATATATAGTTCCGTTTTGCAACTCAAAGAGAAGTTTTTTATATGATTATTGGCACCATTGCTGGTAAAAGTTTTCCATTTAGATTATATTAACTTATTGAAAATATTTTTCTTGTTTAGCTTTGGCTCATGGTGCTGCATTTCCTCTCAGTAATTGCTGACTTAGATAGATAATAAGAATTGCATTCATTTGTTTCTAGTGTTGCTTGTATTCGGAAATTTAACCGATATATTTACTGGTCGAACATTTGACCTATGTACCGAAAATTTCACAAAGTATTATGAGTTTTGTCCACCAGGTGTTGAACTGAATTCTGACAATTTTTTTAATGAAATTACGTATGATTTCATTTTGTTGTTGACTTTTTATAAAAATTTTGTTTCCATATTTATTTTTTTTTATCCAGGAAATGTAATTTATCAGCAGCAAACATGACGCAAAATATGAACTTTTTAGGAAAGATCCGTGAACAATCTATATGGCTTACCAGTAAGTCTATTTTTTTTTATAACAAAACAAGGAAAAGTATTTTGTGAAATATGAATATTGAAATTGATAATGTGAATTTTTATATTCTTCATAATTTTCAGTGTTCTGCTGCTTTCACGTATGTAGCTAGATATTTCACACAATTACACTTAAGTGAACACCACACTTACATGACTGAGCACTCATAATCATTGAATATTTTCGCTAACAATAGAAAAAAATAGTTGTATCTTATTGTTCAATTTAATCTAAAAAAAATGTTACCAAATTAGTCTATTTTTTTTTACTTATTTTGTTACTTAATTTTAGTTATGGGATGTGGAACAATTGTAGTAGGATATTTTCAAGTTTCTTTTTGGTCTATTGCATGTGAACGTCAAACACGTCGCCTTCGTGAAACACTTTTGCGATCAATACTTAGTAAAGAAATAGCTTATTTTGATACACATAAAACAGGTCAACTTAGTACAAGACTGACAGAAGATGTTAATAAAGTACATGATGGTACAGGTGATAAAGTTGGCTCAGCATTACAATTTGTTGCTGCTTTTTTTACTGGTCTTATACTTGGGTATGCTGAGCTAATTTATTTTCTAGAATTTTATTTTTCTATTTAGATTTATACGAGGATGGAAATTAACATTTGTTATACTTTCTGTTAGTCCGTTACTTTTTATTAGTGCTTATATTTTGACAACAGTAAATAGAGATATAAATGAAAATGAAAATTTGATTTTATTGAATAAATTTTTTTGCTTCCATAGGTAACAGCAACAATGACATCACAAGAATTGAAATCATATGCAAAAGCTGGAGCTATTGCTGAAGAGGTTTTCAGTAGTATACGAACTGTTTTTGCATATAATGGAGCAGCTTATGAATCAAGCAGGTAAGAAGTCATAATTGATTAATAAATATTTTAAATGTTTCTTTTACTTTGATAGATATGAAAAACATTTAAGCTCAGCAAGAATAAGTGGTATTCGTAAAGGCGGATTAAATGGACTTTTAATGGGTGCTGTGTGGTTATTGGTTTTTTGCACTTATGCTTTGGTATAATTGATTTTCGTTTAATATGTTAAAATATTTTCTTTTATTTCGTAGGGATTTTGGTATGGAGCTAAACTTGTTCGTGATGAGAAATTTTCAATTGGTGGAATTCTTATTGTAAAATTAATATTTAATTAAAATAATTTCAACTTTTTTTAGTTTGTATCTTTTACAGGTCTTTTTTTCGATCATTACAGCAGTATTTAGTCTTGGTCAAGCAGCTCCTCATCTTCAATCAGTAGCACAAGCTCGAGGTGCAGCTTTCACATTATGGCAAATAATTGATACAGTAAAAATAATAGATCTATTCACTTCAAATAAGAATATCTCCTATATTTAGCCATCAACAATTTCTATAAATAATTCTAATGGTGTTAAAAAAGAAGATTTAATTGGTGATATAAAATTTACTAATGTTAATTTTGTCTATCCATCTCGATCGGATGTTTCTGTTCTTAATCGACTTTCATTTGCAGCTCAACGTGGTCAAACAACAGCACTTGTTGGTTCTTCTGGTTGTGGAAAAGTAAATATCTCAATTCTATCAAGAAATTCTTAACAAAACAAAACAAAATCATTTATTTATTTCNTACTGTAATAATACGGCGACTGTAAACTGCTGTCGTTTTTCGTCGTAAATGATTGGTGTACGACCGTTTACGGCCGGGCATGAACGACCTGGGATCTGTTTATAACAATTACTTGTCTGTCTCAACATTTTAACTAAATGAAAAGTATGTTTTGCAGATATTTTCTACCTAAGACTTTCCTCTTTTTTAACCATATAAATAGTTAACAGGTTCAGTTTCGATTTATATATCTATCAAATCTTGCACAAACTATTTGTACATGCACTTTGGCCATTGTATCTTTCTACATGTTACATTCAATCTACTAAAGTAGATTTAAAAACAAATATGAGTTTTCATTTTATGTTCGGTAGACTAAAGGACCAGAAATCATTTGGTAAAAGAAAAGTTTTTAGGATCCTTTGTGTTAAAATAAAAAACAATGATTTTTGCCTCAAACGGTAGAATGTCAGCGCCTTTCAGTTATATATAATGGCAAACTTCGAACTATAAGACTTGTTAAGATTTTATATGTATCAGTGAACGTAAATATTGATTAAATATTTTTGCTTATAATAAAGTTGATTTCATTTTGTCTTTCAATGTATTTTAACATAGATTTCATTTTAAATTTTTCATTAAATTGTTCGTTCAAATTTTACTTACAGGATGCGGAACAATTGTAGTTGGAAATTTTCAAGTTGCTTTTTGGTCTATTGCATGCGAACGTCAGACACGTCGTCTTCGTGAAGCACTTTTTCGATCAATACTACATAAAGAAACTTCTTATTTTGATACTAATAAAACTGGTCAACTTAATACGAGATTGACAGAAGATGTCAATAAAGTACACGACGGTACAGGTGATAAAGTTGGTTCAGCTCTACAATTTTTTTCTGCTTTTATTGTTGGTCTTATAATCGGGTATATTAAATCAACTTATTTTCAATAGAATTTTATTTCTCAATTTAGTTTGATTAAAGGATGGAAATTAACATTAGTTATTATTTCTGTTAGTCCATTATTTTTTGTTAGTGTAATTATCTTCACAAAAAGAATACCAGTAAAAAACAAAACTCTTTCTTTTAATTCAAATTATTCTTCTCACTAGAGAAAAGCAACAATGATAACACAACAATTGAAAGCATATGCAAAAGCTGGAGCTATTGCTGAAGAAGTCATGAGTAATATATGAACTGTGTTTTCATATAATGGATCTGCTTACGAATCGAAGAGGTAAATGATTAAATTTGATTGATAGATAGTTAATAAATATTATTGTTTTGATAGATATGAACAACATTTGCAATCAGCTAAGATCAGTGGTATTCGTAAAGGAGCATTAAATGGAATATTGATGGGTTGCATTTGGTTTTTTGTATTTTGTACTTATGCTTTAGTATAGTGTTTTTCACAGAATATTTTGAAAAAATATTGTCTTGTTTTTGATTGGTAGGGTTTTTGATATGGTTTGTTCGAGACGAAAAGTTTTCAATTGGTGGAATTTTTATTGTAAAGATTAACATTCACTGGAAATAGTTTATGCTTTGAATGTGTATTTATTGCAGGTCTTTTTTACAATTGTGACAGCAATCTTTAGTCTTGGTCAAGCAGCTCCTCATCTTCAAGCCTTAGCACAAACCTGTGGTGCGGCTTATACATTATGAAATCTAATTGATACAGTAAAATAATAACGCTAATAATTTTAAATAAGAATATCTGATACTTTTTAAGCCATCAAAAATTACAATAACTAATTCAAATGGTATTATAAAAGAAGATTTAATTGGTTATGTAAAATTTTCTGATGTTCATTTTGTTTATCCATTTCGAGTTGATGTTCCTATTCTTAATGGACTTTCATCCACAGCTCCTGCTGGTCATACAGCAGCACGTGTTGACGCATCTGTTTGTGGAAAAGTAATTATCAGAGGAAAACAATTCAGAAAACAAAACTTCGTCTGTTTATTTAGAGTAAATGTATGCAACTTATACAAAGATTTTATGATCCAGTCAATGGTTCAATTGAAATTGATGGTACTCCTGTTGATCAATATAATCTTACTTGGCTTCGATAACATATTGATGTTGTATTTCATACAACGATAAAAAAAAATACTTTTTTGGAACAATGGATGCAACACAAGATCAAATTGAACAAGCAGCAAAAAAATGGCAAATTCACACGATTTTATAATGCAATTACCAGAAAATTATAATACACTTTTCGGTGAACGTGGTGCACAATTGAGTGAAGTATGAGATTATTTGATTTATTTAAGATTTTCTTTATTCATGATTTTTTTTTGTTCTTTGTAGGGTTAAAAACAGCGCATAGGTATGATTGATTAATTGATAAGATATATTAATATTTGTATTTGAATGATATTGCTAGCAATAGCTCGTGCCCTTGTTCGTGATCCTCGTATTCTTTTACTTGATGAAGCAAAAGTAAAATGCGAAAATGATGATAGAATTGTAGAGTGCTCTCGACACAGAAGGTGAGCATGTTGTACAAGACGCTCTTGATCGCTCATGAAAAGGACGTACAACAATTGCTATTGCACATTGTTTGTCAACTATTGTGAATGCATCAAAAATATTTGTCCGTGATAAAGGTTCGGTAATCGAAGAAGGTAAAAAACATTAAATAAGAAACCAAATAGGTAGCTTAAAAAACAAAAAAAATAATTATTTTAGGAAATCATGAAACATTAATGAATGCAAGAGGTGTTTTTCATGGTCTTGTTGAAGCACAAAATTTACATATCAAACATGACGACGAAGACAAAATTGAAAATGGCGATGATATTGCAACTACGAGTAAGATATTCTTCTAAAATAGACGGAAAAATTTATACTTATGAGCCATTCCACGTAAGCCACGACCAAAAGCGCTCAATCGATATTCTCCGATTTGACTCATTTTTACATATGTGATAGAGGCAAGTGTTTGATGACTTTTGGTGAAAGCCGCTTCGAAAAATATTGAATCGTTCATTTTTTATCACAGTTTTACTGAAAGCACTATAAATCGTTATAAAACGCACTTTCACGAGGGACGATTTTGGACACTCCAGAAAATCAACAAAACATCAATCGTTTGAGTTGAAATTTTTGTACATTAATATCTAACTAAGTTCTACATGTACCATAAATTTCAGCTCAAACAAATGAGTGATTGGTATTTTATGGATTCCACAATTCGAGGAAAAATTACTTTTTTGACCAATTTCGCTGCTCATATCTCCCGATTAGAAAATGATATGGACCTGAAACTTTGAACACAAGCATATCTTGATGCTATCTAACTACCATATAAATTTCAGCTCTCTAGAGCAAAGTATTCTTGCAGAGCAACTTAAAAAAAAATCAATTTTTTGTCCAAAAGTGGATTTTTGACCTCGATTTTCTCCCAAAACAAACGCCAACTTTCTTTCCTCACCTATACAGCATGAAGAACCCCACTTTGGTCTACAACCTGGCATAAAAATCAGCTTGGGACGCACATAATCCGTGGTGAAATTAATCAATCTTTTTGTAAAAAATGAATTTTTACGAATTTCATGTTTGGCACCCTAACTTTTCCGAATATCTCGTGAATGGTTCGTCCAAGAAAGTTGAAACTTTCAGGGATAACAGACCTCAGATTATGAAGTAAAGCATGTGTTGCAGTCAAGTTTCCATAATGCTTGGATCCATAGGCTACTCGAATCGTATTGGATGAGAATGAACCTAGTCATTTTTCTCCTATAGTTTCTTTTACGCTCAATCCGATCGAACTAAAGCTTTTCTGATAGACAGTTGCTAAGATTCTTATCTTCGTTGTATACTTCCTCGTTATTTCATACTATCCAATTAGTAGAAGTGTAAACTAGCTCTAAATCAAAACGAAGCATTCGGTAATATGGTTGCATATTGTCAGGATAATGCACACAGGAACTGCGTCTTTTGGTATCAGCTTAGTCTTCATTGCTAGTTTGAATGACTTGACTTTTTGTCAAGAATCAGTCTATTTGAAATATTATTGTTGGTGTTCAGATACAATCATAAGCTTTAAGAAAAGTTGTAAAAAACTGCGCAAAAAACAATTCAGAAAACAAAACTTCGTCTGTTTATTTAGAGTAAATGTATGCAACTTATACAAAGATTTTATGATCCAGTCAATGGTTCAATTGAAATTGATGGTACTCCTGTTGATCAATATAATCTTACTTGGCTTCGATANATACAAAGCTGAATGCTGATTCTTAGAAGAATAAAATTGAGTTCGGACTTTTCAGATGCATATACCGTAGTAAGACACATCTCCTTTATGAGAACACGCAGATTTTCTCTAATTTATAGAGCAGGTTCAACTTTTTTGAAACCTCAGAATCTTTCAAAATCTTTCAAAATCTTTTAAAATCTTTTAAAATCTTTTAAAATCTTTTAAAATCTTTTAAAATCTTAAAATCTTAAAATCTGCTTTTTCCCCCTTGATGATACCCCACTTGAGTGCGTCAAATCCTTTAAATATCTTGGCTACTCATGGACTAATAAACTATCAATGTGTAACTCCGTTAGACATTGCCTAGACAAAGTTCAACAGTCTTACACAAAACTGAAATGGCTTAAAAGAAATAGAGTAGTCTCCACCACAGTTTTGAGACAATGCTTTTTTGCCTTTTCTTTCCCCTTCTTTGCCTGGCTTTTTTGTCTCTTTCCCCTCCTACCTCAAGCACAACAAGAACTCCTTAGACAAAAATTTAGAGCTGGTCTAAGATTAGTCCACAGATGTCCATGGGTAACAGCAAAGGAACTACATTCCTTCATAAAAGAAAAAGAACTAGATCATTATGTCAAACAGTACATAAAGAAAAGACTAATGAAAGTCTACAAATCTGACCTCTCAACTTCACTCTTCTTCAACGACATTTCCTTTTGGGCCGATTTCAGGAAAAGAAAAAATGACGCCCTAGGTCATTATTTTCAACAGAAAAGAGTAAAACGCATGAAGAAAAATCAAAAATCTTTGTTAGGTGTCTGGTTACAATTCATAGATGAAACATAAACCGATCTACAAACAAATAAAATCAAAATAAGCAGAAATATTGGCAAAGTACGTCAATATTTTTCCTATCCCTTTCGGTAACCTGTATATAGTGGCGGAGCCAGGATTATGGATCCAGGAGAAAGAGCAGTGCTCACTCTGGCCTCCATTTGGCGCCACCGTAAACGTAAACAGTGCTTTACCGTCTTAAACCCATCATCCACCCTATTCCGTCACAAGTTCACACGTTAAGACGTAAAGGAAATCCATAACATTAGTCGCTCCTTATTTAAACAATTTCAGCAAGATATCACTAAAACATTGTAAACAATTATTCTATATGTCACACACACCCCCCTTTTCTTTTCTCCTTTTCCTTTTTTTTTTTGTTTTTTTTTCTATTTCTTTTTTCCCTGTATCCAACCTTTTTTGTAAGCCATTCCCGAGCGTCACAAATAAAACACGCATCAACAAAAAAAAAAAAACTCTAGAAAGATGTTCGTTCTGTTAAATAAAGAGGAAAAATAAGTATTACTGAAAATAGAATCAAAACAGAGAGGATGTAGTCGCGTCGACATACATCTAATATTCTTATAACTGAACGTCGTATTAGTAATTTTTGGATTAGTATTTATTTGAATATTTCTGTCATTCTTCAAATATTTTCTTTTCTCATCTATCTATAGTCTATTTTTCTTTCATTTCCTTGAATTAATTGAGAAACAAACAATTGAAAATAGAATAATAATTTGATCGATGTGTTTAGTTTAGAATACATCAATCTTTTTATAAGTATTGTTGCTATATTCTTCATAATCTCAATCAATATTTAATTCATATTTCAGATGATTTCGATCGATATTTGATGAAAAGAAGATCGAAGCACTTATTGCAAACTTATCTCTTTTATTGATAATGTTAAACTATGTGTTCTCTGTTTGTATCTGTTCTTCCATCCGATGATTCATTTTTCTTCACTATATAGTAAAATGAGTGAACCATGTATAAACAAAAAACAATTGATTCTTGATCGTCGTCCACTCTATTTCATATAGAAATAACTAATAAGTCTTCTTCTGTTTTCAATAATATTCTAAAAAAATATGAAAAGAATATACCGTAAAAGTGATAAAGTATCGATTGTATATTTTAGCTCGAATTATAACAATGGGTCGAAGAAGCTCTTATGATATCAGTCGTCGTCCAATACATGTTAGTGATGATATTAATATGACTAGTAAAATGCGAACAAGTCTCATGAAGGATGAACCTGTTAAAGCATCACCTTCAAAGTATGTTTATAAAAAAAATATCTTTTTCTATTCTATCTATATTTTTATATATTTAATTTTAGGTTCAAAATTAAAGAAATTTTAAAAAAAGAAGATAATGAAAATAATATCAAGAATGAAAAAAAAACTTCTACAGAACTCGTTAGCTTTTCAAGTCTAGTATGACAATATATTAATTATATACATACAGAGTGTTCCGAAAGTCTATCAGAACATGCTTAAAATCTTGAATAGTTCAAGTGATTTATATAAATTTTTTTTTAGCTATAATTTCGTGCGATGTTTCTGTAAGTTCTATTCAACATAGTTCAGATCAAATGCTTACGCCTATAAACATTAGAATCGAAAAAGTTTTATTAATGGTCGAATTAAAATTATCTGCGCGTGTAAATCAAACCATGTCAATTAAATTTGACAAAGAAACAATAAATGAAGATAGCATTAAAGAGATCTCTAAGGGTTTTTATGAAATTGATACTTGAATAGATGAGTCACATTCTGAACGTCCTATAGTAATATGATAGCAGAAAAAGTCCATGCAATTCATATTACTAATGAAAGTGCATAGACAGATAAGAAGTGTTCTAATTGTTTGAAATGTATTTTTTTAATAACATTCAGAATTATGACAGAACTCAGTAAGTGGTTCGAGAAAATAAGATGTCTTCGAATTTCGATAATGAAGTACATCAGTCTCTAGACAACATTTTCTCACACATGCGTATTTAAAGAGATCGCTTTTTTTTCGTTAAAATTCACATCCATTGAATTTAGCATCTGTCTGAATTCTCTATATGATAACACATACAAGGCAATGTCTGCAAGATGCTTATTAAAGATCAGATTGAATTAACAAGAAGAATTGACGTAAAAAATACAATCGTTTTGATGGAAATTCTATGAAATCTTTCATTTTTCAAAAAGTTCAAAACAGTGGAATTGACCTCTTTATGTCGAACAGAGAGCGCAAATAAAATTATGCGAAATAAAACTATTCAACAAATCGAATAAAATGATAGAAATCTCACGTGTATAGCTTGAACTCTTTAAAAGTTTTTTGACATTCTTTTTTCTGCGACACACTTTAGGAACACCCTGTATATTCATACATTTGAATATTAATAATAATACTTTTTCTAGTTTCGCTTTGCTAATAAAATTGATATAATTTGTATAACAATTGGTACACTTGCTGGTAAATATTGTGATTATATTTTTCTTGATTTATCTTTAACATGTATTTTATTTAGCTTTGGCACATGGTGCTGCATTTCCTCTAAGTAAGTTCTCATTGAACAAGATATACTGAAAAATACTTTTCAAACATATAATATAACCATGCGCAAAAGTTTTTTAAATAATTTTAATCGATCATTTTTATCATGATAGAAAATTTCTATGATCACAAATCAAAATCATGTTTCAAGTTCTTATATTTCGATCGAGTTGAAATATTGTATAATTAAAAAAATACAAAAAGAAGAGCTCGACACTAGAGATGGTACCGGTACTGGCAGATCGATCGGTCCGCTTCTCTCCCTGATCTGTTTAGACCAGTATCAGTATTGGTCGTCAAAAAATGCAGACCAGTGCGATCTCTGCTCAACATTCAAGTTCATTTCCGTCGTTTTCAACATACTATTTTATACTTCTTTTTAGTGTTACTTGTCTTCGGCAATTTAGTTGACATATTTACTGATCGATCCTTCGATCTATGTCAAGTAAATTTTACGCTACTTAATTCTTTTTGTCCAGACAATATACATCTTACCAATAAAAACTTTCGTAACGAATATCAGTATGTTAGATTTTTATTTTTATTTTTTAATCTATGTGATAACATAATTTTTATGCATAGAAAATGTAAATTTCCACAAGGAAATTTTACATTAATAAACGATCATTTTATGTCAAACATTGGCAAGCAATCTATGCGGCTTGTTAGTAAGTATCGTAATGTTATGTATTTAGATATTTTTTTTATTTATCTTTTTCTTAATTTTAGTTATGGGATGTGGAATAATTGTAGTAGGATATTTTCAAGTTTCTTTTTGGTCTATTGCATGTGAACGTCAAACACGTCGCCTTCGTGAAACACTTTTGCGATCAATACTTAGTAAAGAAATAGCTTATTTTGATACACATAAAACAGGTCAACTTAGTACAAGACTGACAGAAGATGTTAATAAAGTACATGATGGTACAGGTGATAAACTTGGANTAGTAATTGAAGAAGGTAAATGTACTAATAAATGAAATGAATATTTTAATAAATGATTATTTGAAGGAAATCATGAAACGTTAATGAATGCACGAGGAGTTTATCATGGTCTTGTTGAAGCGCAAAATTTACGTATGGAAAATAATGATCAAAAGGAACTTGAAAATGATGAAGATGATGACATATCTAGTATGTATAAGTGTTTTATTTGACTACTTTTCTATATGAACAATTGTATTGAACTTGTGAGAGTTTTTCTAGCGGCGTGACCACGAGGTGGGCTGGGATGAGCTTAGCCCACTCTAGAATGGTTTTTGTTCTCGCGAAAAATACTATCTTTCTTTATTTTTGGAGGCTATGGTGAACAGACTGAGTGAGATCCGTCGTTTCATCATATTCAATATTTGATATTTTCTCTTGGCGTAAGACGAAAATGAGAGTAATTTCTAAAACTGACGGAAGTATTAATAAGATTTTCTGATGAAAAAAGGTATTTTCTCACTTTTTACTGTGAGAAGTTTTTGATTTGATAATAGTACTCTCAGTACGCATTCACGAGAAAAATATGGAAATTATTTTGTTAGAGTTCAATCATGGGTCTTCTCAAGAATGCGTCTTTGTTCAGTAAATGTTATAGGGAATGTCTCGCTACTTCTTTAGGTGAGAGTCCCGAGCGTGGTCACATATGACGATATTGTCAGGAGAACTATATTTAACTTGAGATAATTTTTCTTAATTTGTTCACACAAAACTGTTCTTGTAAATTACTTATCATACCGACTATAAAAGCTCTTGCCAAATTGTATTGATTCATATGGAAAAGTAGGGGTATGGAAGTTTTCCTCCTGAAAAGTTATTTGCTGAAAATTTGAAGGCACATAAATTGGATTTTTCATATGAGTATTGCTTACCCGAAAAAAAAGCAGCGAGAATAGAGACTTTCCTTCTGAATCGATTTGTGACGGTCATTCTGAAGATTTTATTGCAGCAAACTTTTAGTGCTATTTTTCTTTGGCTATCTATGTTTTCGTTTTTATCAGAGATATAACGGGTTACGAAATCGATTACTAATCTGATCAAGTTATTTAAAATTCGATTTATACTAGTAAAAATCGAATAAAGTTCTTTCGAATAACTTACTCTTAGAAGCAGATATTTTTCGCTGGGAAAAATTTTCTAAAATATATTGTAACAAATCTCAGGTAATAAATTCTAAAAGTCTTTGATATTGTCGTAACGAGAAAAGACGAACATTCCAACAGGTTGTGAAATTTCGATGGGAGTACAAATATGTTTCAGACAGACTATCATACGGTTTATTCATTAACAAAATTTGAATCCGTTCTAATTTTGCTTATTTTATTTTTTGAAGCACTTTGGATTACAAAAGCCACTCTTCTAACTGTTTCATATTGAAGTCACGTTTTGTGATCTTCAGATCGTCTGGAAGTTGTTTCGGATGCCTAATTTTCAGTTTACACAGCATGTTGAGAATTATCTTTGACAATTGCTGAAATCCGAATCATTAAGTGGGATCGTATTCACTTTGACCATGGAGCATGAAAAATTGCATTGATATCGCCAAAAATGTAGAGTCAACGACGCCTTAGAAGTTTTAAAGCGTAGAAATACTGGCTTCAAACGGGGTTCGTCTGATTCAACTAGACTGAAGTCCTAGCTTTTTTCCTACTAGAAGACAACTTAAAAATAATTAGCGCTATCTTTATGTACTTTGGAAAAACATTCGGAGCTTAGCGCACCCAAGTCTGAAATCCTGGTTACGCCGTAAAATTGTCCTCTAATCGATTAATTGTCTTTGAGTCGAAACTATATGCATCATGCGGACTCTGACGAGCTTTGAATACCCTGAAAAGAGTTGTAAACGAGACTAGATCATTTTGAAAGTTCGGCAATTTTGAGTGGTTGTATTCTAAGATATGGTTACAGTAAAAGTATGTCTTGTACATTACTCATCTACACTAGTAGATTTAACATTCTTACTTCAGGATAGGAACAAGTCAAAAACCTAAACTTTTAACAATAAACTATTCTCGTTAAGGTCTATCGCTGTGTACAGCTTAGAGTCGAAATACGAAATCAATTTTCCTGTTGCTCTTCAGAGGAACTACAGATTCGATTTGAAACAATACCGTACACGTACAATATCTCGGTAGAAATAAGCTAACATTCTAGACTTAAAAATAATTAATCAGTTAGAGAACTTTCCTCGTTGATTATATCTAGAAAATGTCTAATAATATTTAATTGATTTTAGTCGATAATGAATTAAATCAATCTACACTAATAAGTGATCACAATAAATCCGGTCATAATAGATCTATTAAAGAAGATCAAATAAGTCAAAAAGCTGATCAAATAGATGAATCTCAAGAAGTAAGTTCTAATTGAAAATTAAAAGTTTGATAGACAATTGCTACAACAACTTAATATTATACGAAAATAATAAACAAATACGAATATATATTTAAAACAAAAAAAAACTACTATGAATCAGTCATTTAACTAGATCACAAATCTGAGAATGTTTGTTGCAAAACAATAACCATGTATCAAGCTCATAAGAAAATATAAAACTCAAACCTGTATTACCAATCTTGTGCTTCTGCTTTGCAAGACTACGAACGATATTTGATGTGCGTGTCAATAAATAATTGTAAACTAAAATCTATTCAGTAAAGTATGAAACAAAAAATTTGAAGCGAAATAACAATATAATTAATTTTCTTTAAAACAAACACGTCTATATTCAATAGAATTTTAAAATTAATTTAAAAATAAGGTTTTTCAAAATATATATATGTATATTAGCATTTTTGATTATTATTATTAGTATAACTATACTAATGTTTTTCTCTTTATTTAAGACAATTGAACTACTTAAACAAGAAGATCATTCTTCTGATAATGTAATTATTAAAAATGAATATTGTTTTCATGTCCTATGCTTATTTTGCACAATAACACTATAGATATATGATATTAATTTTGCTTTTGAACTTTGACTCTTGTTGATTGGAACTAATAACCGTAGTTCTATTCAGATACTTTCTATTTATTTGAAAGAAATCAAACGTTTATTTTTGTTTTTCTAATCTATTAGTATTCTGGACGATCACCATTTTTCGCAGTACTTCGAATGAATAGTCCCGAATGGATTTATATTGTATTGGCTTGTCTCGCTTGTATTTGTAATGGAGGTTAGGATGATCCTTTTTTTTTCTGTTCTGTTTATTTAAATATTTTTCTTTTATCTTAGGTGTTCAACCAGCATTTGGTGTTATTTTAAGTAAAATGATTGCAGTAGGTTAAATTTCTTTGTTTAAAACACAAGAAATATTTGTTTTTTAAAGGTATTTGAAGAATGTGATCCGAACGTACAAGAAAAACGTGTATTAAATTATGTTTTATTTTTTATTGGTATTGGTTTGATTACATTATTTACAATGTTCTTACAAGTAAATATCAATAAAAATTTATTTTAATTGAAATTCTTGTTTAGAGTTTTCTCTTTGCGATATCGGGTGAAACATTAACACAACGTCTTCGTTCAAGAATCTTTCAAACTTTGTTACAACAAGAAATTGCTTATTTTGATCAACCAGAAAATAATACAGGTGCTTTATGTACACGTCTTGCAACTGAAGCTTCAGATGTTCAAGGAGTAAACATTTTATTTTTCATATTTGATAAAGTATGATTTCTTTTCTTATTTCATAGGCGACTGGTATTCGAATTGGTACTATGTTACAAAACATAGCAAATCTTGGTGTTGGAATAATTTTAGCTCTTTTTTATGGTTGGTCATTAACATTACTTATGTTAGCTTTTGTACCATTTATGATTGTTGCTGGGTTTTTACAAATGTATTTATTGACTGGATTTGCAAATAAAGTTCGTTTGAAAGGATTTGACGATGAAAATTTTCTATTATTTATGTTTTAGGATAAAAAAGCGTTAGAAAATGCTGGAAAGGTTTGTTATGAAGATAATTAAAGGAAAAATATTTATTGTTATTAAATTAAATAGATTACAGTTGAAAGTATATCAAATATTCGAACAGTGGCACAATTAACAAAAGAAAAACATTTTGGTGATGAATATTGTAAATTACTTGATGCATGTTTCAAGTAAATATCAAGAAAAATTTGATTGTTTTTTTGTTGTGCCGTTTTAAATATTAAGTTGTTTTTATTCTCATCTATAGGAACAGTATTAGACGAGCACATATCTTTGGTTTATTATTTGGTTTTACTGATGCGGTAAACTTTTCATTTGTTTTATTTATTATTTTAAAGTCGATCATATTATTTTAAGATTATGTTCTTTGGAATGGCAGCTTTATTTTCTTTTGGGGCTTGGAGAGTTCAACAAGGAGCAATGACGTAAGTTATTATCCTTTATTTTAAATAATATTAAATCGAATTTTTCGTTATTTTCTAGTTTTGAAAATGTTATGCTGTGAGTATAAAATATTATTAAATAAAGATTAAATTGATTATATTTAATTTAGTATACTTAATTGTATACTTTTTGGTGCAATGGCTGTAAGTCAATTCGTAGAAACGAATATATTTGAATCTTATTCTTTGTTTTATAAAGGTTGGACAAGCATCATCAATGGCACCGGATTATTCGAAAGCGATTGTATGTTACAATTGTTCTTCTACTTTTTTTTTTAGTGATATCAGAAAGATAATGGTTTTTTTATAATATAGAATTCATCGAAAAAAATTTTGGGTTTATTCCAACGTGTGCCTAAAATTGATAATAGTTCGAATACTGGGAAAATGCTGGTAAAAAGAAAATTTTGTAAACCAAATCGTTTATTTAAATTTGTTTTATGAAAAGGAAAATTTTGATGGTGAAATTGATTTAAATAATTTGGAATTTCATTATCCAAATCGACGAGAAGTACAAGTTTTGAAAAACTTTAATTTAACAATTGAACCTCGTATGAAAGAACCATCTTTTTTCGTTTGTAAGCAAAAAATTCTAAATTATATTTAATTTAGACAAACAAATTGCTCTCGTTGGTTCATCCGGTTGTGGAAAAAGTACCATAATTCAATTACTTGAACATTTTTATCATCCGACAAGTGGACAAATAGTAAGTTGCAAATACATACAAAACGAATTCTTTCAAAATCTATTTAAACAGTGCCCTGTTATTAGTGACGAAGCCTATCCAGAAATCTTTGAACTTCCTCTAGAACATAAGACGATTTTATACTATAGACCAACAAAATACATATTTTTCGACTTCAAGCGGACGCTGCTTCTCCTTCTTCGTACAATTTTTTTCCTTCGCTCCGCCCCTATCACACACCCAAAACGAGTGGCACTATAACAGTCTGATATAGTATCTATTCTTTACCTACAAAGAAAATATAATTTACGTGTTTTTCTGAGTAAATGTTAATGTGACATATGGACTTTCTTGATTGTTGATATTAGAAATAATTACATAGGTGTATTTGAGAGTGCTGTTATAATTTTTTCTTTTCAAAAATCAATTGAAAGGAAAAATATATTTTAGTTAATTAATCAAAATGAATTATCAACTTTAAATCTTCAATGGTGGAGAAGTCAAATTGGTTTTGTTAGTCAAGAACCAATTTTATTTGATGCAACGATTAGAGAAAATATTGCATATGGTGACACATCAAGAGTAGTATCTATGGAAGAAATTGAACATGCAGCTAAAAGTGCTAATATTCATGAATTTATTACAAATTTACCGCAACAATATGAAACAAATGTTGGCTCCAAAGGTACACAATTATCTGGTGGTGAAAAACAACGAATTGGTAAGAAAGAAAATGAAATCTTTAATAAGAGAAATTTTTCAAAGGAAAAAAAAAACAATATGTTTTTCTTTTGTGTTTCGTTTTAGCTATTGCTCGAGCACTTATTCGTAATCCAAAAGTCTTGTTACTTGATGAAGCAACAGTAAGTAATCATAGATACTCATATATATATATCTGAATTGATTTCTAATTTGATTAGAGTGCACTTGATGCAGAAAATGAACGTATAGTTCAAGAAGCACTTGATCAAGCCTCGAAAGGTCGTACAACCATTGTTATTGCTCATCGTTTATCAACAATACAAAATTCTGATCGTATTTGTGTTCTTCGTCGTGGTCATATTGTTGAATCTGGCAAACATGATGAATTATTAGCTCGCAAAGGATATTATTATCGTTTAGCACAATCAAATAAATGACATTTTATTAATCATATAGACATTCTTATGTTAAGTTTAGGTTGGCTTTTATTTTTTGTTTGTAATAGTTATGAATAAATGGAAAACAACAACAAATATGAATAGGATTCTATGCAAAAACGGGACAGTAAAATGCGCATAAGAGCATAGAAATGATACAAGAGTAGATATTGTTTATTTTTTGAAGTTTTCATTTGGATGTTTCGTTTATTTTAATATGGTGAATAACTTGATGAACCACCACTACCGCGACTAGCACCGCGATATGGACCACTTCGATTACCACGATATGAACTGCCTGAAAGAACACAAAGATTGAGTATTGTAATTTATTCAATTGAAACCTACCACGATCATCTGCATCTGGAAATGAATCACTACCACCACCCATACCTGTTTAAAAAAATTTTTTTTTTTGTATTCTAAGATTTTATTTTCATTCTAATAACTTACCACGAAAACCACCACTGCTATCACTATTTCGATCATTCGAAAATCCTTTTCCCGAGCTACCACCCCATCGGTTGCCACCGGAACTATAGTTCTGACGAGAACTACTACTATCATTCCAATTGCTTCGTGCGCCGCGGTAACCTTTAATTGTTAATAGAAAACTTCATGAAAATACAAATGAGAGAAGAAAAACAAAAATACAGACCACCTCGACCACCGCGATCGTTGTTATTATTACGATTACGACGTTGTGCTAATTGCACTTGTACAGATGTACCTATTGAATCAATATGTTGATCTAATAAAAATAATAAATCCAAAAGAATAAAATGAAAATTGAATAAAGTCAAATGTACCATTATATTTTGAAATAGCTCTATTAGCTGTTTCGTCATCCTCATAAGTTACTGTAGCACGGCCATTTGCTTCACCCGTATCACGATCTTTATAGATCCAAATTTTTGGACCGCCTGATCGATCGTCCGTCTTGAAAGAATAGAAAAAAAAAGTTAAAAAATACAAATTTAAATAAACAATATTTTACTTTAATAGGTCCAACAGTTGAAAAAATATCAAGAATTTGATCCCGTGTAATATTTTTTGGTAAATTTTGAATAAATATTGCATCAGTTAAAGTTTCAACTTCTCCTCGATCATTATTTTGTCGTCGAAATCCATAACCACCTTCCCGTCCTAAAATAATTACAGATTAAATCTTAATAAAATATAATCAAACTTAAATAAAATCCCAATGGATAATAGTAGAGAATTTTTCTTTTCATGTTTAATAATGAGTTCAATAAGTACATCTTTTTTTCGAAATCAAATCTTTTATTCAATTTTTTCTTAATCCATGACATCTTTTTTTTTTTTTTTTTTATTCAAAATTTATAATATAAAGTGGATCCAATGGGTATCTATATCTTACTTGAATTATTATTTCCAAATGACCCTTGATAAGATCCACTATAGCAAGATAGAAATCAAAAAGAAAAAATAACAATCATCATGTATACATAAAAATATCCGCAAGTTTTTTTTTTTTAATTATCTATATACGTTTACCCATTATATTATTTTCGTACTTTACTTTTTTTATCATATTTAATTGTATTTATATATGTATATATTCTTTGAAATAATATAGAAATTTATGCGATTGTTTGTTCCAAGAAAAATATACGTATGTTGAGTGCTTTTTATTTTTGTTTCATATATATATATATAGCAAAATGTATTATTTCAAAGAGAAATGAAAAATAATTTTATTTGTATTATGAATGAGTAGAAAAAATTACTTATGTTATACGATAAAACTTACCCTCCTCGTGGACGATTGTCGTCATCATTATTTGAATGAGAATAACCGCTGCGTGAACCTAGAAGAAATCATGTTTTTTTTTTTAATTATATAGGAAGACAATTTGAGTTTTACCACCATGCGATCCTGAACTCCAGATATTTCCACTGGCATCTTCATTTGTAGAACTACTACCCATGTACGACATTATAAATTGTAATGAATAACTTTCCTTCTTTCACAATCGAATATGTATATAACAAAGCAAATAACGGGGAAAAAAAGAAAACAAAACTGAATAATGTAAAGTCGCCATTTCTTCATCTGAAAAATTTTCCTTCTTCCTGGAGACAAAACATATATGTTAATGGCCGATAAAATAAAGATGTCACTGTTTGATGGTTAGATATGAGATTATATTGTAAAAATCAGAATTTCTTCTTAATAATAAGCATAGGATTGCTTTTATGTGTCTGTGAATAAAATTATCGACATTTATTATGTTTCAAATACGAATATTAAATAAATACACATTGTAAGCATGAGTGGCACAAGATAAAATTTTTCAAAGGAAGCAAAGTACACATATTTGTTGGTCAACTGTTCCGAGTCATATAAGTAGTGAAGTTAAACTTCAATATATGTTCTACTATATATTAATATCGACAAAATAGACATAATTAGGAGAAACAATAAGTGCATATTACTGTTACGAATGTTTTTGGGGAAAGCAATTCACATCCCTTGTAATGTTAACACGCTGTTTTTGATTGTAAGATAAGAGTGTTCGATCTAGAAAAAAAGGTATCAGATCATTATGATGGAGTAAAATATTACCGTGTTAGATGACAATAGAAAAAAGCTATTTACTCGACTTAGATAGGTTATCCATTACAAAATAGCATGGGAATAGAACCATATGGTATTTTTGTTTTGCTCTAGTATTGAAAACAATTTAAACCTAACGACTGATACTATACACATTAGTTTTCAGTTAATCGCCATTTGTTATCATGCATTCTGAAACCGGTATGTGAATTATAAATAATGATTATTATTGTAGATTATTAAGAATAGAATCGTTTTTTTAATTTTAAAATTCGATCTAATAAAGTAATTTTATGATGATTTTAAAAGAATTAGAAAGTAGAGTTAAGTTTGGACAAAAATATTTACTAAAAATATATGAAATGGATTAGACTAAAAGAAACTTTTTCCAGTATTTCTCTGTGATAACATCTAATAAATTTGACTAATGTGTCATCAATAGAATTGAAAATATATACATTAGTATTTTTACTGAAACAGTAAGTACATTTTTTTTTTACTTTTATTTCTTATTTTTTAGTATGATTAATTTAACTTGGTCTGACACATTAGTTTTGCCAAGGATTATCTTAACTAATGATTAATGAATCTTGACCAAAGATTTTACTGCGAAATTTGACGAAAATGTTATTGTCTTAATCTTTATACTAGCATATGCTCTTAAGTCTGTAATATAATGGAGAAATTTTTATTTTTTAAAATATATTTCACTTATGAAAGAAATATAAATTAGATGAATATTTTATCTAGCGAGGCAACTAATGAAGCAGTGTCCATCCTAAAATTAGGTTAGCCTTCCAGTAGTTGATGGTTTTTGTACCACGTACTATGTGTCTGTCTGTGTTTTCAAAAATAGAGGTTTGTTCTTTCAAAATTTTAAATCATTCAACCGGCAGAGAAAATCTCGATAAAGCACTGAATAGAACAACATATTAACTTGATAAGAAATGAAATTGTATTGAACTATAAGTTAATTGTTTAATTGTCAAACAATTGAATTCGATTTTTGGTTGAAACTACTAATGAGAGTTTAGTTTATTTCATTAGATGATTTAAAATATCAAAGAAGAATATGACAGATATATCGTATTTCTATAAAAATTAATATAATTCTTGTGTTTCTTTTGTTGAGGTTTACATTATATACTTATTGCTCTTTGCATTATTTTCATCGATGCTCGACTTATTCCATCAGAGTCTGTAGTCGATGAACCACTTACCATCGATGTTATATCAACTAATAATATACCTATTGTTCCTGAAGTTTCAATGATGGGTCGAGTTAATATATTACCAGTAACATCAAAACAAGCTAATACTTCAGTGTGCTATCCTGTTCTTGGTTGTTTTGATAATAATGAACCATATAATAATGCTGGTTTAGAAGTACCTCAAACACCTGAACACATTAATACACAATTTCTTTTATTTACACAAGAAGCGTCGACAACACCAGAGACTCTTTTCTATGATGGTAATGATCAATCAATTATAGAATCAAGTATTAATCCTTCTCGATGGTTAAGAATTATTGTTCATGGTTTTACGAATAATCGAAATAGTATTTGGATAAAACCACTTCAAGATGAATTATTAAAATTAAAAGATGTAAGAATTTGTTTTAGTTTTTAAATTATTCTTCATGAATATAATAGAATGAATTATCGGATGTGCTTATTGTTGATTGGGGTAATGGTGCAAAATTTCCATTATATACTAATGCTGCTTCAAATACACGTCTTGTTGCTAAACAAATTGGTTTACTTTTACAAAAATTACATAATATAAAAGGATTTACATATGAAAAAATTCATTGCATTGGTTCGTTAATATTAAGAAAAGAAATGTTAAAATTGTTATTTATTTTGATTTTTCTTAGGACATAGTCTTGGTGCACACACATGTGCTTTAGCATCAAATATAATTGATAATCAAATGGCTCGTATTTCTGGTCTTGATCCAGCCGGTCCATTATTTGAAGGAAAAGATATAGTTGTTCGTCTTGATAAAAATGACGCAAAATTTGTTGATGTTATTCATACAAATACAGAAATTGCTTTTGGAATTGGTTTAGGATCAAATCAACCATCAGGACATGTAGATTTTTATGCTAATGGTGGACAACATCAACCAGGTTGTCCTTCAGTGTAAATATTTATTTTAGAAGAAGTTTTTTTTTTTTTCAACTTAATTTTATTCTTTTTTTTTCAAGGCTTTCACTTCTTGGCAATGTAATCCATGGTCATAGTGAAGGTAAAATAATTGAAAAATGCTTGAAATATATATATATAATTTTTATTTTATAGCAATTTTTGAGCAAACATCATGTTCACACTGTGAGTTATAAAAAAAAAATAAACTGAATATAAAATCACTTTTATATTTATAATTAGCTCGTTCTCATGGATATTTTACTGAATCAATCAAGTATATTTCTATTAATATGAATTAATTAGAATAATTTTCTTTTTTTTTTCTATTCTAGTTCAAATTGTCGATATAATGCTTTTCCATGTAAAGACTATGTAAAAAGCAAAAAAAAAAAAATTTCTTTTCTTTTAATTTTTCTTTTCATAATTTTCTTCTTTTAGAATAGCTTCATCAATGGTCAATGTCTTGAATGTTCAACATCAGGTTGTGCTCAAATGGGTATTTAAAATATTGTTTCTATTGATATGATGAATTTGTGTTTTTCTTTTGTTAAGGCTTTTATTCGATTTATTCACTTGGCCATGGTAATATGTATTTAACAACAAAGGACACTTCACCATTTTGCGGTTAGAATTTATATTCAATTTTGTATGTTATCGATTTGTCTTTTTGTTCTCTCGTCTCGATATCTATAGGTAATCATTATCTTATTGAACTTGTACTCGATCAAGATATGATTGCAACAAGTGGTGAAATTTATGTTTCAATTCATTCAAATTATGAAATATTAACTAATGCCAGTATGACTTTGAAGTAAGTATCAAAAAACAAAAAAATTAAATTATATTATTTGATATTCATGTGATTATAAAGATCGAATTCTGATATAAAATCAGGTGATATATTTCGTCATGTATTCAGTTATAAAGCTGATTTGGGTAAAGTTGATTATGCTATTGTACAATTTAATAAAGCAAAAAGTTGTATGTATTTATTAAAAATCCATATTATGAAAAAATATAATTTATGATTTTAGTCTTTGGATGGGGTAGTGAAAAAGGTAATGCAATTGCTATTTCACGTCTTCGTTTGAAATCAATAGAAGATAGTGTTGTGTATGTATACAACTATTGTCATGGTTTTTTTCTATTTGTTGTTTTTTTTTTTTTTTTTATTCAACAGATATAGCGGACTTTGTGCAACGCATACAAAGATAGCAGCACATGCTTCTGAAATAGTTTTACTCGATCGTTCTGATTGTCACGATTCGAAAGAAAATAATTGATTGATATTTTCTTTTTATTTTGAAATCGAAGAAAATAAATATTTTCATTGAATCATAAATAAAAGAAAAATGAATATGTAATAAATGATTATACAGTGAAACTTTTATTAATAAACATCACGCATAGGCAGACATCTGTCGATTTTGAACTTGAACATTTTTTTTTAAGTTCCGATTGCTATTTTAATCTCTTTTAAATGAACATATGTGCACTTCTTTTCTTTTTTTTGCTCATTTTTGTCTTCATCTTTTCTGGTACATGCACTAAAACTATGGCCCATTGTTTGTTTTAACTATAAATATCATGAAAAAGTAACGACATTATAATATCATCTTACAATTAAATAAGAAAAAGTTCAATAGATCAATTATTACAACGATAGTAATGGTATATCACAATGTAAATCAGGTTAAAACCCAAATATTTTACATAATTCTGTTTCCGATATTTTAAAACTTAAAAAAGAAAAGAAGATTGAAATGATTATCAAATAAACTAAAATCAAAGTGTTAAATGAAAATTGAATGGTTTTGACGTAATAAAACTTCTTGAATACATATATTTGCATGAATTGTAGAGCAATGTTCGTCAATTATATATATATATATATATATATATCTTGACTGAAACCATAATACAAGAATTCGTAAAACAAAGGTAAAATTTTATATTCTGTTAAAGTCATAAATATTCAAATGGAGGAGAAAACTAAACAATACAAAGAATAGTCACTGATTACTTCAAAACCAATAGAAAAAAGCTTAGATTCTGAAACTATTTTCATTTCGTAGTAATATATATATATGGATATTTCTCATTGATGAACACTTATCAATATTGAAATACTTCAAAAAAAAATTTCGATGATATTCATTTAAGAGAAGTTTTATTGTGTTAGATATTTTAATTTTCTCTTCTCAAAGATGGAAGGTACGTACTCTCTCTTGTTTGTTTTTTTAATTTAAAAAAAATCATCCTGTATCTTCCTTCACTATGTTTTTCTTTGTCATGTTTCTGTCTGTTATTCCAATTCAAGAGCAATGGAAATTATTTTTCTGATTGATGTCAGTCAGGTTTTCTTTTTGCAAAATTGATTTCCGCATTTCGAGTCATTTTCTTACTATCAAGATAATTGTTTTTGTAGTTTCTTTTTGATCTGAAGATTTAGACTTAATTGTCATGTCCCAAGAATATACTGCATACTATTTGTGACAATATCAATTTTTTTTTCTACTACTCCCAACATCATACGACATCTGTCAGTACATCAGCTGACATTGTGTAGATTCATTTGATTTCTGTTCTTACTGCCCATCTTCCTTTTATGGTAGCATATCGTATTAATCTGTCCACTCTCTTATTCGTTCTTCATCATTTCATCTTGTCAGTATCAACACGATTGGAGACCTGTTCGATGATAACATATATATATATATAATAAACATAACAAAAGTTCAAGTTCACCACTTGTCAATAAAAAAACAAATTATTTTTCGAAATATTTATTTTAGATTTTACTACTCCATCCGTCCCTATCGCCTTTTATTTTCATGTATTTTTTATAAATTTATTCAAACTGACAATATTGATTAATAACGAAACACATTCCAAATTTCAATTAAGGTATCCTTCTTGTTTATCTTTCATGATTACATAAAAAAAGAAAGATTGCTATCTATTATCATATTTGTCGTTTTCTTTTTCTTACTTTTTTTTTTTTTTTTGACATTATTTATATTACTTGTAATTAATGAATTATAATTTTCGTACAAGGTTTTTTTGCTTGTTTATCATAAAATAAGTACATAGTGAAACGAGATAATCATCATTTACCTATTTTTCATATACTCAAACTTATAATTATTCATGAATGTGATGTATTAAAGAATTTTTTTTGTTCTCCAAAATCTTTTTTTTTGTTCTTCAATCATTACACACCTCCAATGGCGACAAGGTGAGATGTTATGAGTACAGTCAAAGAAATAGGGTCGTTTTCATTTTTTTTTTTTCTTCTTTTCTTGAATTCATATTGAATGAACATAATACCATTTGAAATGTCAATTATGATGTATAAGTGAATAAAAGCACGAAGAAAAAAAAGAGAATGGAGAAATAATGTTATAGTTTTCATCAAAATGAATTCTAATTTTTTTGACATTGATTACCTTTTCCTTCTATGTCTAGTTCATCGTCAAATAAACCGATTGTTTTATCTCCTAATAATGAAAATTTAAGTTCGCCAAAGATCGCCGCCGCAGCTACTAATATAATTGACCGTCATCTGGCAAGGATCGTTGCGGGCAATGCAGGTACATTGTGTTGTTTTTTTTTTGTTATTAATCAAAGAACGTTTTTTTTTCTTTTAAGAAAATTTACGTGCACATCTTGACTCGATGTATAAACTGCTGCGACCCGACGATCGCCTTACCCTGGTTTGTCTATGCTTTTTTAATATTCTAGTTTTTTTCCAATTGCATATTTAATAGATGGTCCAATTGGAAAGTGGTTTTCCAAATCGTTTTCGTTACCTAGTCATTGTTACATGTGTCGGAAGACAAGAAACAGAAGAGTAAAATAAAACAAAATATTATTAGTATTTATTTAGTAAAGATATAAATATATATATATTTCTTTCTAGATCGGCTATTCTTGGTTTCGATGTTGATACAAATGAGATTACAATCGGTATGACATTACCAATATGGGCCGATTTGGATATATCACTCGACGGTGATGGGTAAATTTCGTTAGATTTTATCAAAACTTTAAATATTATGAATTCCGATAAGAAAAAAAGGCTAAACCTTGAAATCAGATGATAAGTTTCGTTTTGTACAATGATAAAATAAATTATATGAATTTATTTCGATTTAAACTCAAGTATTATACATGATAACAGCAAAAATTCTATCAAAATCTCATAGTCTAAAAGAAGAAAAAATTTTATATTATAGAAAATTCTCTTAATTATTTAATTTAGTGGTTTTAAATTAACTTCGTACGATCGATGTCATATTTTCAAGCCGGTGAGCGTACAAGCTCTGTGGTAATTATTTAAAATTTATTTTATTTCCATATAATTATTGAAATTTAATTTTTATAGGACTGCTTATCAGAGTTTGCACAAAGCATCAAATCAAGCTCGTCTTTATAATTATATAGCTAATAATGGTATAACACATAGTTGGATTGAATATTATCGTAATCCAGATATACGTTCAAATCAAATCTATGTTAATGAATGGAATCAAATGGATGATATTTTATCACATCGTAGTGATTCACCTCATTTATATCAACCGTATATATTATTAAAATAAAAATTGAATATTTAAAAGAATGAAAAAAAAAAAAAAACTTTTTTTGTTTTTAATTTAGATTATCGTCAGATGAAGAAACACTTCGTGCTAGAATACATGTTAAATTAAAGGAAATTATGTTACAAGTTGATCTTGATGAAGTGACATCGAAATTTGTAAGTTGAGCTAATTTTGTTTTGTTTTATTATTTGAAAGATTGAAATAAATGTTTTTTTTTGTTTAAAGTTACGTGAACAATTAGAAAATGCCTTTCAAATGTCTTTATCTCCTTATAAACAGTATATTGATGATGTTATGTTACAAATTCTTGCTCAAATGGATAAACCAACAATGATTTTACCACATTTATATCTTGGTTCTGAATGGAATGCATCAAATTTTGAAGAATTAAAAGCAAATAATATTGGTTATGTATTGAATGTTTCACGAGAAATAGATAATTTTTTTCCTGGCCATTTTAAGTATTTAAATGTTCGTGTACATGATCATGATGATGCAGATTTATTAAAAGAATGGGAAAAAACATTTCGATTTATAAATGAAGCAAAGTACATTATCAAATTCTTTAGAAAGAAAAAAAAAAAACTCATGCATATATATATATATATTTTCCTTTATAGAGCTAATAATCAATGTTGTTTAGTTCATTGTAAGATGGGTATTAGTCGATCTGCATCGACGGTAAAATATCAAAGAAAAAAAAAAAGAGAAATAATTATTTCTAAGTTTATAATTTTCTTTTGTTTTCAAATTAGGTATTAGCGTATCTTATGAAAGAAAACAATCATTCATTTGCTGATGCTTTAGAACATGTAAAAACACGACGATCATGTATCAATCCAAATGGCGGTTTTAGAAATCAATTACTTATTTATGAAGGAATACTTGCAGCAAAGTAAAATAATTACTATCGGCAAGTTTATTTTATTTTTATTATTTATTTTAGTAAAACATTTCGAAGTAAATTAAATGACAGTCAAACAACTACAACAACAATTGGAAAAAAAACAGTGACTATATCTGCAATATCTTCATCATCTGTTAGTACTAAAAGTACATCGAATATATCTGTTCAACGTTCATCATCATCAAATCCAATAGTTCTTATGCGTACACGATCTCCGAATAAATCAAATTCTATTGTTGTTGTACCTCGACAAACATCTGAGCATTGTAAACAGCCATCACATGTAACTACTCGACCGAATTCCATGATTTAATTAATTAATTTATTTTTTTGTTTCATGTCCCTTCTTGTTCTTTCTCTCTTGTACACGTTCTTCTTCTTCTTCTGTCTATGTTTGGACATACGGAAAGAAAATCGTTTTTGTATGTATAGAATATAAATCTTCTTCTTCATCTTTTCTTTTTTCGTCTTGGAATGATACAATTTCTTGCTCTTTACTTTTTTTTTCTGCTATATATGTTTTCTGTTTTTTTCCTGTAACATCAAATAACTGACAAAAGCTCCTTTCCACCATCAAAAAAAAAAAAACAGCGAGTAAATATTTAATAGGAAAAATAATACTTTGATTTATATAAAATGATTGGTTGATTTATTTGTTGTTGTTTTTTTATTATTCAAAAGAACAAAATATTAAGAAAAAAAACAAATATGAAATAGAAATATTATAAAAGTACATCATGCATATTTGAAGAAACAATTCAGTTCGGATACATTTGTTGATAGTGAACTGAATGAACTTCTTGTCAGATCAAAACAAATGTTAATAAACTCATGTACTAAAGAATTGGAGTTATTGATAAAGGTCATGTAGTATTGAACTAATCTTTGCTATATTTATTCATTGTTAGTCATAGATACAGAAAAAATTTTTTGTGAAAAACTTATTTCATTGGAATATTACAAACGATAAAATCATGTCGTTGAAGGGTTGGGCAACATTTTCATCGGTGATAAAAAATGATCACTTTTCCAGGTATAATAAAATAATGGAAGTGAATAATTTTTCGCATTCATCAGTGGTCGTGATAAGTTTACGACTATTATAGTCTGTTATTACTGAGTGGTGCTGTCAAATTGGTTTGTGGATTTTAGTGAAGTTGGAATTTAATTTCAATACATGATGGAGATTTTTGATAATCGAGTTTTTCGGTTTCTCAACTAATTCTTTTTTTGCTGCTTCGCACAAGGTGTATAAAAAATATTTTTCCAGAGCAGTAATGCTATGGTTTCAAATAGTATCCATAACAAATTTTATACCAAATTAAAGCGCGTCGAAAATCGAATTTATCGATGCTAAATAATAAAGGTTATGACAACTTTGTAGTGTCGAATTCAAGAAATTCCTAGAGTTTCATACCATTTTCACATTGAAAAACTACTTTCATAGGGCAGTTCAAACTAGATCTCATTTAAAATAAGGAATACCACAAAGTACTATTTATATCTTACGGTTTGATGAATATGACCAATAATCAGTATAATGACCATTAACTTTTTTTTACAGCATGAAGATGAGACGGATACGAACATGAAATGGTTTCAAATAACTCAATGTTTGTTTACATGTTTGCCAAAACATCTGAAATATATTTTTCAAAGTTTCTTCGTCACAACGATTGTGTTTCATCGCCTATAACATTTTCTTTTCGTTTTATTTTTGATTATTGTTGCAATATTTCCAGGCCAGGTGTCGAATACTTTGTGTTATCCATAATTTCAAATGAGATCTAGTTTGAACTGTCTCATGAAAGTAATTTTTCAAAATGAAAATGGTATGAAATTCTAGGAATTTCTTAAATTCGACACTAAAAAGTTACCATAACCTTCATTATTTAGCATTAATAAAACCGATTTTTGATTTTTTTATCGATGCTATTTGAAACCATAGCGTTAGTCCCCTGGCAAAATACTTTTATCCACTCTGTACAATTAACACTTAGTTACTTATGATATTTATGTACACAGTAAGGGGGAATTATCGATTTCATATTAAAATATGAATATTTGTCATGTGGTTTGGTTAATAAATTAGACTAGTAATGCATAGTTGAGCCATCAGAATATACTTTTTTCTTTCTACGCTAGGGAAATTAAACGTTCTACTAGAAACTTATGCATTGGTTTCATTTAGTTTGTACTATACAGTGTGAGTTTAACTCGCTTGATGTATTGATTGTCTCAATAGTAAGTCAATTCTTCATTGGCAATTGTAGAAATTTTATTCCAAGTGATTTTTTTTATGAATTGCGATAAATATATGATAGTTTCATTCATCCAACTGAAAGTGTAGTGAAGTGTTTCTTCTGCCCATCGAAACAAAGTAAATCATAGGAAGAAAAACCTTCAGCAGAATAGAAAAGTCTGTTGAAACAAAGAAATATCCTCTTGTGCATCAAATATATCTATTATATGTCTCAATCCAATTCCATAATTGTTTAATATTTCTTGTATGCATTTGAGTAAAATAAGTTATACAGAAAAAAGAATCTTTATTGGAATAGAAAAGTCCGCTGAAAACAGTAATATCCTCTTGCCGATTCGATATATCCAACAGAATTATGCATCTGATTTTTGTGCTGTGATATATGTGGCACTGGTAAAGTTAAACTTAGACAGAATTCGTTTTTTTCAGGTGCAAAAGAGCAAATTTTAAAAAATTAATTCTTATCTTACTATATTGACAAAAAAAATAACTTGACTAATTTTTACAACAACTTAAAATAAAGAAGAACATTTATTTTCACGCATGTATAGAGTAGTAAAAATGATAATCATGAATATCTAGAATAACGAGGGCGAAGCATGAAAAATATTCGAGGTATTATCCAAATGCACCCCAGCGATAGAAGAAATTACGACCTTATGTGTTTTGTCCTTTGTTATGATTGTATGTAGACAATACCTCGATATTTTCGTATATCTATCTTCCATACTAATGAATACACAGAAAGGAAAAGAAAAGGCATGTTTGACCTGGACGATATTTTTCCGTTGAATATGAACATTTTGTTTACCGATCAAAAAGTTGTCCACTGCTGAATCAGAAAACTTCGCACTTCTAGAGGGTACTACTAACATTTAGAAAACTTTTGATCCCAGTTGAGAATATTTTATTATTGTGCTTATTTATTATCATATGTCTGAAATAAAATATATTCTTGATATGAAATTGTACAAGTAAAATAATAATAATCAAACAATTTTATGTTCACTAGCTGGTATATGTGAAAATTCAAAATCGAGATGAACAAAAGCTCGTTCGATATCATTAATGCTTTCCAGTTGATTTTGTAGTTCTTCACCAATATCATGAGCCATGGCAAGTGGCATCGAACCCGGTAAGCCAATATCAACTTCAACGAAAAAATTCGTTCCATGATGAGTTGCTTGAATGGAATCAATTTTTGTGATAACATCAGGACGATAATTATAAACCACATGAGTAAGTCGTTGAAGAAAAGAAGGTTCAGCCGTAAGACCTGTTAGACGACGTACTTGTCCTGTGAAAGAGAAAAATAGAAACAACCATAGAATGGACTGAAACTTTAATTTAAACATGTAAATTAAATTTAAAAAAAAAACACAGTTCAGTAAAGTTATTATAATCTAAAGAAAATAAATGATATTTACTGTTTGCTTGCAAGATCCAAGCGATAATAATGTACACTGAAATAATAATAGCACCAATCGGATCGACTACGATAGCTTCTTTCTTGATTTTGCCATGCAGAGCATTTGAAGCTAAAAAAAAATCATTATATATTTCAAAACAACTTTATAATTTTTGATCATTAACGATTTGATTTTCTGGTTAGTTTATGAAAACATGCCATTAATCTCTTTTCGTTAATTTCGAATGCAAATAATATGAAAAATAAATCATACCGATAAGTCCAAAAATAAGTGCTACAACATTAGATGCTACGTCATTTCGATTATCTTCTGCTAAAGCGTACATTGTTGGACTTTTAATTCGATAACATAACACGAATAGAGTTGCTTTAGAGACTTGAATTAAAGAAATTATTATGTTTTCGTAAACAAAAAATAAAATGAAAATTACCAATAGTAAGAACCATAGCTATTATAGGTACTGTACTCATGTTTATCTCAGGTAATGTTTCTGTGGATGACGCATTATGTTGATGTGTGAAATATTCAATATCTTGACTTAACGTTTCGGCACTTTGATAAATAACTTGTATACTTGCTGAACACATGATTACAGACAGAATAACAATTGATATTGGTTCAAGACGTGTTCGTCCTATAAAAAACTCAATATATTTATTTATAATTACATTTTATTTAAAAAAAACAAATAACCTCCAGGATATTTATAAGCATCTCGTTTCTTAATTTTTCGAGCTGTCCAAATGAGAATAACACTTGTTAAAAGATCAACAATACTGTCAACAACTGAAGAAATGACCGAAAGAGATTTTGATATTACTGCACCAACTATTTTGATGATAACAAGAATCTTCAATGAAGAGTCAAATTACAAAACAATAAGATAAATACTCAAAACAAACAGACAATGTTGGTGATTAAGGTGATCATAGTTAACAATTTGATAGTTCGTTTGTGTTTTTTCTGATAAGTCGTTTCATGATCTTTTACTTCATCACTTTTTGGTAAGAGAATATCTTCAATGGATGTTATTAATTCCAATTGATCGTCATAAAAGTCTCTAAAAATTAATGAAAACTTACCGAGAATACTAAAGGTTGGATATAGTTGACTTCATCTCATTTGTTTGGTATTGTCTAACTTCTCTACTATTGTTTTTCTTAAATTAATAATCTCAATATGAAACAGTGAATCAATTCAGTTTTTCTCGCTAAATCTTTCTCTACTTTTTCTTCCAAAAAAACAAAAAAATATTTCAAAGAAGATGATAATGACAGGATAATTATGTTTTGAGTTTTATTAATCCTTAAATTTTGAATGTTGTTCTCGTTTTTTTTGTCTAACAAATATTTACATCATTTTTTCCGTTAACAATTGAATTATATATGTTTTTTAAATGTAGAAATGATACATTTTATCAAAGAGAATAACACATTGTTGGAATATTGAGTTAAAATATAATTAACAAAATAGAGCCTTTACTATGAATTACCTGACTTTTTTTGAAAGAGATTTATCATCTGGTTTACATAAAGGTTTAAACGATTGTATATGTTCTAAATAACCATAGTTTGGTGGAGAAATAGAAAATGTTGACTCGTCAATAGTTTCCATTTCATTAATAAAACTGACATTACTGTTTCCTCTTGATAATCGTTGATGACTTGTTAGAAAACGAATTCCTCGTGTCGAATTCGATGCACTGCTACTAGCGGATGATCGTTTTCCAGTTTTTTCTGGTGAAACTCGTATTTCATCGGACTCTGAAGTAGCCATATGAAAATCAAAATGTACTCAATGATTGGCGATTTATATTAATATTTTTTTCAAACGTATATTCTTTTATTGTAAATCTAGTCATTCGTACATTTTCTGCTTAGTATTTATGTCTATTTTTTGTATATCTAATCATTAAACCGTGACGTGGTTATATATGGCAATGACAGAAAAGAAAAGCTTTCACCGCCTTAAAACCTATCTAACATGAATAAAAAAAAAAAAAGAGTATTTATCATTAATTGATGATTTATTCGAATATATACATGTATAGATATGTATGTTAAAATGAGTCAAACAGTACATTGTAAAAAAGCATTCACTTACGAAATATTTCAGAACTTTTTCATTGCAACTTTCACAAAATTAGTTTACTTCTTTAAGAAAAACTATTTTTCTTCGCTTTTTCATACAAACATTTTCTTGTTTAATATCAAATGGTTAACAAAATTTTCGCAAAAAAACAAAAGAAACAACAGAAAAAAAGCATCGACTGTTTGATTGTTTTATCTATTATTTCTAATAGAAGTTATATATAATACACAGAATTTTTTTTGTCTCGTTTTTTAATTTCTAATCACCGATAACATATTAAATATTCAGCATAAGCTTGTGAATCATGATATGTCACTAAAAAAAAAACAAAAATCAATTAAAAATCAATGTTGCGTAAAAAAATAACATACCAAATATACTTTGACCATCGCCAGTAGTATCGTAACCAGAGGGTGGAACACGCATACCGGAATTTCCTTGAGTTGTCTTACCAACAAGAACTCGAGCTGGAAGATAAAAACATTATTGTAATTTCCGATAAAAGAAATATTATTTACCAAGAAACATTCGTCGAATACCATTACGGTCAGGTAATGCATAACTATGACTGTACAATGAATCACGTGCAAAATAACAACCTTGTCCAAAAGCTGCAGCTAAAAAAAAGAAATAAATTCATAGTCGTTGATTTATCTTCTTTTCATTCCTATTTTTAACTAACCATGTTGACCAGCATATGAACGATTAAAACATTCGACTTCAATATTTTTCGATGATCGTTCATCACAACCTAGATAAATCAAAATAGAATTAAATTAATTTATTAAATTATTTATTTACCATGAAAAAGCCATTGTTCAGTTTGTTTGCCTAATTTTTGTCGAAATTCACATTCATGTGCTGAATATTGTTTATACCATCGTTGATTTTGTATTCGTTCTATTTGAAGTATGTTCGGTATACCATTATCATGAGTGGTGGCTCGGAATGAACGAGATGATACTTTTGGAACATTTATGGTAAATGAATTTGGACCTGCTGGATGTGCATAGGAACTATTTGATTGATAGATTTGATGTGAAAGAAAAGGAAGAGATGTAGGAGGAGGTAATGCTCGTTGTGATTGTGATTGTGGTTGTGGCTGTGGTGAAAGAACCATTGTGTTTGTTACAAGAGGTACAGAATATGATAAAGATCCAAAAATATTATTTGCTGGTTGTTGATTTGTTGGAGGTACATTGTTATTATTAATAGGAATTTGCATAGGACCGAATTGTTGCAATAATCCTGGTGGCAAACGGACTGAAGAAGGGTTATTGGTTAGTGGAAGAAAAACTGATGATGGTGGTGGTGGTGGTGGTGGTGGTGGTGGTAGTGTTGGCCGTACTGACATTGAAGGAGGAACAGCAATAGGAACAGGAGTAGGATGTTGATTTTTCAATTTTGTCCAACTTTGATTGAATCTCTCACCTACAAATTTATATTCTGTTGATTGTGGATGAAGTACATGACGAGAAAAATTTGTTAACATTGGTAATGCCCAATATTTAGGTAAAAATTGTTGTTGATCCAAAAGTAATAAATCAAAATCAAAATCATCATCATCATTATTATTATTATTATTATTATTATTATTTGTTGTCTATATAAATTATGCTTAAATAATAAATAACTTTTTTATACAAGAAATTTACCTGATTACTATTTTGTCTATTAAAATGTATTGCATGTTCAGATTCAAATAATTTTCCTTGTTGATATAATTGTATACTTTGAATTTCTGCAGGTGTTAAACGTAAATTTGATAAATCATTATGTTTTATTGGACTACGACAAAGCGAACAAACTAAAAAAAACAAAAGGAAAAATAAAATAAATAGTTCGTTTTTATATTTTATTAATATAAATAAATAAATGAACAAACTAACTGAGTAATTCATTTGTTGTTGTTCGTTGTCGATTAACTTCATTAGCAAAACAATCATAACATATTTTACAATTACAATGTAATACAAATATATTTCCATATGAATGTTGTTGTGAACATAAATCACATTTACGACGAGCTGTATCATTATTATTTGTTATTACTATGCCATTTTGTTGTTGAATAATAGGCTGTATTTCGTCTGTATCTTCTGCACCATAAAGAATGCTATATAATTCGACGACTTTTTTGCTTTGATAATTTTGAAATAGAAGAATTTCTTCATTGGTTAATACACGAGTTACAGATAAATCTTTATCTTGCAAATGATAACTACATTGAGGACATGTCAATATTTGATTATTGTCCATCTGTAAACAAAGAAAATCAATATTTTCTACATGAATTTCTTTAAATTTTGACAAAAGAGTTATTCTAATCTTGAAATAGGCATAAAGTTCGAGTTCTAGTAAAATATCACATTAAATTTGAATAAAACATCATTAATTATGAAAAGTTTCTGGTTAACCCAGTAAATTCTATGAATATACACTCCCACAAATAAGTATTTGCCTGTTCGTAGTTTTAAATTGTCTATCTGCAAGAGACAATCTGAATCAAATGTTGACTCTAATATTTAGGTATAACTATTGTATTTCTCCAATAAAATGGATCATCCTATTTAAGAACAAGAAAATGGATATGAACCTAGACACGAAAAGATACTTTTCGTTACTCTCAATTCTATACTTAAATAGCTGAAACTGTAGTTTTTCATGAAGATACTTCAAATAAATAATCGTCAATTTTGAATTGATGCATCCATAATTTTAACTATTGAAAACTTTTAGATTTTCATCTTTCTCAAAAATCTATCATCGGTTTATTCATAAAGAACGATTAGAAAAGAGAGAGAACCAGTAAATAACTGACAGAAGATATGAGTAAGGCCTATTTGAATGTCTGGACACCTATTATTACTTTCTGTTGTTGTTCAAGCATTTTTCAGTGACATTACTTTTGACCAGCATTTTCAAAAAACAGCAACTTTTCAAAACTCTATGACACATAATCCACGGATAGATTACGTATATTAGTCGTTTAATAGAAAAAAAGAAGTATAGTATATTTAAGTCAATAGAATTTTTCAAAAAAAAATTTTAAAACTGAATGTTCAATGGTTAGGAAAATGTGTTAGTAGAAGCCGGAAATTGGAGAGGTCGGGGGCAACAAAAATGACAATTTTAACCTAAAGGTTTTTTTATGGATAACTTCCATACATTTTATTTTTCTATATATGTAGTTGTTTAATGTTCCTCTGGACTATGAACTCTCGACAATAAACTTACTTGATTTTGTAGACGTTGTTTATAACATAATAAACATAATGAATGATTATCATAACAATTAATAAAATAAAATTCATCTGATCGTATTGCATTTTTACATACATCACAAGTTTCTGTTGAAAGACCTGCTTAATAAAAGAAAAAGATAAAAAGAATAATATTGGATATTCAATTAAAAAAAAAATAATAATAAAAATATACCATTCGTTTGATTAAATTCTTCTATCATTTCATAAACATCAATAGCTCTTCGATGTTTTCGTTGCCATGAACAAATAAATGATTTAATACGTTTTTCATCAATATTTGGATTTTGTAAATGATTAAATAAAAATTTAGCTAATGTGGAATTATCATCGTTAGTACATATTAACATATGTTGTTCATAATCATTAATTGAAACAGGACAATAACATATTTCACATGGAATTGTTAATGAACGTCCTAGACATTCATTATTATGTATAAAAAAATTATGTTGATCAATATATAAATCACATTTATCACATTTTGTACGAAGATTATTTATTTTATTATTTTTATCTATATTTATTTGAATTAATTGAAGAAGTATTTGATGATCTTTTATAGTGATTGGTAAATCATCAAGATCATCATTTTTTAATAAATAGCCACAATTAACTGCTAAGCATATCGGTGGTGTTTTTGTCTACAAAATATTTGTAATTTATTAAACATTTAAAATTTTGTTTTTTTCTTCTACCTGAATATGTTTTTTTGTCCAATTAAAAATACAATTTAAACAAAAATCATGTAATGATGGACAATTAAATGTTCGTAATAATATTTCTTGTTTTCCACATGATTTACATGCTTCTTTATTTTCTTCATTATCATCAGATACTAAATCAATTAAAACAGTTGATGATTGATCAGGAAGACATAATTGAGAATTAAGTGATGGACAATGGCGTTTTGTCGGGGGTGATAAACGATCTGACTCAGAACTATCATCATTTGAATTATTCAAATCAGTTTTTGAAGATAGCTGATTCATATTATCATCTAAAATTGTAATTTATATTAGATGTATTATTGCGACAGAACAAATTAAAATAAGGTAATAAAGTGAATTTCATGTAATTTTAAACAATCGAAATTGAATTCTGAAAAAAAAAGTATGTCTACTAATTTCTTTAAGTTGAATATAAAGGATATCATACTTTTTCATTCTTAATATATACAATTAATACTTTAAAAATTGTCAATAATGTTTTTTCCCAACTTACTTTTTTGTTAAGTTTTACATGACTCATAATGCCTATGATACTCTTTTCATCATTCGTCAAATAGAAATCATAATTCCTTTCGAATTTTAATAGATCACTAGCGATATCTATCAAATTTCAATGTTTAAAAGAATATGAGAACAAAAAAAAAATGAAAAAAAAATCAGAAAATATTACATAATAATAAAAGACAAACATTTATTCTACTGATAGAAAGTATGACAATATGAAATAAGAAAAAGTCTAGCCCAATTGAGGTGGCGGTGGTGGTGGTGGTCGTTCACGAAGAAGGCATTGTAAACCAGCATTATCAGCACATTGGCAAATACGTTTAGCACGAAGACTTAAATTTGGTAAACATAATTGACCAACCGTACAATCATTATTTTCACTACAAACATTATTAACTAAAATAATAAGAAAAAGAAAAAGAAAAAAATAGATATTAAATGAATTTTTCATTGTTTCTTTACTATCATTTGGACATGAATTTTTAACTGCAACTAATCCATATAATTTTCCATTACCACCAGATGGTAAAAGAACACTATCTGGTGCATGACTTGGTGTTTTATCAATTCGACCAATTTTATTGCTAAATATTCGCAAAACAAAAAAAAAGAAAAAGAATTGAAATAAATTTTCTCATGTAAATTATTTACGTTGACCAATCTGTCCAATATGCATATTGAAGTCCATCACTAAGGCCAAATATCATTGTTGTTTGATCAGCTAAAATAACACGTCGATTTGATCCATCATCTCTTACACATTCAACTGTTTTCATTTTTGCATCTCCCCAACATAATTCTCGACGATGATGATCATAATAGAGTCCATTGGGTAAACCAAGTTTATCGGAAACAAGAATTTTACGTTCACTACCATCCATATTAGCACGTTCAATACGAGGATTTTGTCGATTCCAATCTGTCCAAAAGATATATCTTTAAAAAAAATCAAAACAAATAAAATTAAAGATTATATTTCAATTTTTTATTTTATTTTTAATTCTATTTCAACAAACCCAAGTTCTGGATTAATAGCAATACCACGTGGATTTTGAATATTTTTATCAAGAAGAACTTTACGCAGACTACCATCTAGTTTAGCTACTTCAACACGTTTTAATAATGAATCTGTCCAAAATACTAAACGTGATACCCAATCAACAGCAATACCTTCAGGACTTCCAAGTCCTAAAATTAGTCAAAAAAAAAAAAAAACGAAATTTCTTATGATTTAAATTTTATGTTTTGCTATTTATTACCGCTAAGAATTATTTTTTGTTCACTACCATCATATTTCATTCGTTGTATTGTCTTTCCTGATGTATCAGTAAAATAAACAAATTGTTGACGACAATCAGTTGAAATACCCACAGCACGCATTCCTATATGTATATAATAAATCATGTGCTTTGTTATTATTTTAAAAAGAATTTTCATTTATTCTAATTACGTGGTACATAAAGAATACGATTATCAGTATTAGTTGTTAAACCTGATGCTGTTAAAGGTACTTTTAAAATAGTTTGTCCTTGATTAACAATTAAAAATTGTTCTTTAGGTCCACCAAGCGTTTCAGCACAACTATATTATAAATCAATCATTATTTTTGATTCATTAAATTTGACGAAAGAAAAAGCTTACTGTATTCCATCACCAACAAAACCATCTCGACATGAACAAACATTATCTTGTAGAATTGAATCATAAACACAAGCAGCTGATGGCGAACATATTGTAGCATTTTCAACACAAGAATCTAATATTGAAAAATTGAAGTAAAAGAAATTTTTTTTTTCTTTTTATCTAAATAAATTTCTTACGTTCATGTCGACATGTTATTCCGTCACCTTTATAACCAGTTCGACATAAACATACATGTCGATCTATACGTTCATTATATACACATTGAGCATTGGCATGACATTTATTTTCAATATTACATGAAATTACTAAAAAGACAAATCTATAAGTTTAATACATTTAATCTTCTTTTCATTACGATACCATCTTTAACACAAGTTGAAAATGTTGTACCATCATTAAGATATCCTGGATCACAAACACATTTACTAAAACCTGGCCGTTGTTCATCAGGTAAACAATGTGCATTATATCCACAATCACCATCAGATGAACAAAAATGTGCTGTACATGAATATCCATCACCATAAAAACCTGTTCAATAAAAAAAACACAATACAGAAACAACAATTTGATCATAATTTGCATATCTATATAAAAATCAAAGATACAAACCTGGTTTACATATACATTCATATTTTTGTGTATTTTCATTAATAAGACAATTGGCATTTGTATCACAATTATAATATTCATTACATTGTTTTGGTTTACAAACAGATTTATAAACTCCATGTACATGATTTTCATGATCATCAGTCATTTGCCAACCGTCTTTACATAAACAACGGGCTTGTCTTGTATGTGGATCTTGTATACATGTGGAAAATTGTGGACAAATTTTTGTTGTACATGTTTCAACTAAATAAATACTTTTTAATTATCCCTCCATATCTCGTAGCAAAGAAGAAAAAAATCTTATTTCTCACTTTCACCATTAATAGGTTTACAAAAAAATCCATTTCCAATATAATTTTGTTTACATTCACATGTAAAATTTCCATATGTATTTGTACATATTGCATTTGGATGACATGGTGATTGAATACACTCATTAATATCTTTGTAAAACAAAACAAAAAAAAAAAACAGGACAAATTAGAAGACCACAAACATAAGACTTTTATATGATTCAAGTTTTTACCATCACAACGACGTATACCATCACCAATAAAACCTGGATTACATTTACATTCATAAGAATTTTGTTCTAAATTTGGTATACATTGAGCAAAACCATGACAAGGTGATGAATCACATGGATCAAATTTTGGAGCTAGATGAAATATGTTGTGCTTTTTTCTTTATATATTAAATAATATTGACATCTATACATACCTTGAGTACCAAATTTACTAATAGTAAAAAATCGAATAGTTGTTTCTTCAATTGAATGATAAATATGATTATCATGAGTTGATACAACGATTTCTTTTGCTGATCGATGTGGATTATGTAGACATTCATAAAATGTTAAACTATCTTCAATCTCATAACTCATATTATAAATAACACTTGAATTAGTATCAATTTTTGATGTTAATGTATAAGTTGTTAACGATTTTGCATCATAATGACCTGTACAATATTTTTATAGAAATATTTTAAATAAAGTTTATACAAACCTAATGATCGTTTGGTATATTTAATATTATTATTTCCTATTGTAACCGATAGATTTCCTTCTGGATGTGGAAGACTACCATTGATATAAGTGTCAACATAAAGAACACCTGATTCAATTCCACGAAAGTATTGTTCAATATTGAAAATTGATTGTTCTGTTGTATTATCAACTTCAAAAATACGTATTAAAGCTGAACGATTTACTACTCCACCTATTTAATTAAATGTATAAAAATAATTTATTAGTGAAATCAAAAGAAAAAAAATGTTGTTTTTTTTTCTTCTTCATTGTTTAACCTGTAAGAGCAAAACCATTTTCAATAGGATCTGAAAATCGATGAATTGCACCAAATAACCAATTTATTGTATTAAATAAAGGTATCAATTGTTGAAGATTGGAATAAATTAATGGCATATTAATAAGTGAATTATGTATTCGACCATCTTCCATATAAACATAACCATGTAATTCTGCATCGATTTTATGACCATTGATTGTACCATTGATTTTACCAACAACTGGATAATTTTCTATCGAAATCATTATGAAAAATAAAATAAAATAGAAAAATAATAATGAAAAATAAATTTACCAGCTCGTTCACATCGAAGTCCTGAACCCAAATAAGGAAAAAGACAACGACAACAATATCCATTGCCTTGATTTTCACATTGAGCATTACGAGAACATGTTTGACATTCGATAGCATCTAAAATTTCACATGAAAATTCTTAGTCAAAATATATTTAATTTATAAACATATACCCGGTGGTATTGTTGTTGTAGATAAGGGTGTTGCTTGTTCAGGATAAAAATTATGACGTTCTTGTTGAAACATGTTCGATGAATAAGGTGCTGTAGAAAGATAAAATAAAATCAACTTTAATACATCATAACATTTCAATCGAAATACTATAACAATAAATATTTTTATAGAAAATTACATTATACTTACGTTGTACTAGTCCAAAAGCTTGTTCATAATCATCATCACTTCCTGCTGGTATTACACGAAATCTTCCATAATGACGTCGATCTCCAATCAAATAAATCCATACACCTGGCTTACCAACATTTGATTCCCTATTTATTATATTGATATATATATATATATATATATCGAGAATTCTTATTTACATACTTAACCAAGTTCACGATTGCTTCTCCACCTGATCCAGGTAAAACTGTTGTTTGTTGAGGTGTACCATCAGTAAAACCTGCTTCACCATATCGATCTTCTCGACCTAATTTTGTAGGACTATAAGCTGAAATAAATTCTAATTTTGCATACATAAAGATAGAATATGTTTGTACACTATCACTAATAATAGCGACTTGAAATGTATTTTTCTATTTGAATGAAAAAAAAAAACCATACGATTAAAATCTATTTTGAAAAATTATTCAAACCTTATTATCTTTATCTAAATAAGAATGAACATCTTTCCAAGTACATATTAAAATTGACTTCGGTTGAAAACTTTTTGAATTTGGAAAACCTTGTTGAATTAATTCTTTTGCTTTTTTAAGTAAATCTTCTTCTTTTGTATATCTATGTCGCAAAACAATATATATGTATGGTAAACAATGAATAAATTAATAATAAAACTTTACTTATATGTTATAGAACCATTTGTAATTGACGCATCAATATCAGCCCAAAACGGTGCAATAATTGCATATCCACTATAACTTGTCAATGTTATTTGAGGAAAAAAATATGCTATTGGTAATAAAAATGATAAAAAACCATTTGTATTAATCTAAATAAATATTTTTTTTTTTGTAGAATTTCGAAAAAAAAAACGTCTACTTACATAAACACTGTCATATATTGTTGTAATAAATGGCATTTCAGGTGAAAGAATAATTTGTTCTGAATGTGTATCATCTTCTTTTGGTAATTCAATACCATTTTTATAAATAAAAAAATTCGATTCATCAATACATTGACTATGATCATTAAAACAGAACAAAATCAAAAGACAAAAAATTGCCTTTCGATGTGTATAAGACAACAACATGTTGAATACAAAAGAAGAACGATGATTAGTGTGCGTATAAATGCTTCGTTGTAAAATGAATGAATGAGTCGTGTCAATGAACGATTGCTTCTTTTCTCTCCTGTCTATTTTTTATGCACTTCGATGATAATGATCAAGTAAAATACATATTCATATATCCATATGTGCATATATAGGTTCAATGCGTTTAAAGATGCAATGTGTAGCCCTTAAGATAGCATGTGCATGCATTGCATAAAAGAAACAACCAGTCAATCTAATATGCATAACTGAATACGAATGAGAGCATATACTGTATTCTTAGCACTCGAGCATATAATAGATTAGTGTGTGTGTGTATGTGCATGTATGTTTTAACAATGTCAGAGACCAAAGACAAGTGTTTTTTTTTGTTAGTCTGTCTGTATGTATGACCGCGAGAAATATTGTGACGTCATAATATAATCTTGGATGAATGATGATGAATTCTACTGACTTACGTCATTGACATATCAGCAAAAGTTGTTTATATTACGTTCGCTTTTATATGGATTTAACTTAGAAACTTTTTACTTTTATTGAATCATTGTTGAAAAGAAAAACTTATAAAACAAAATATAATTTAATATTACTCAATAGGAATAGTAGTTTATCGACTTCTACTTTTTTTTTTGACACTTTCATTATACGATTGTCTTTTGAATAATTTATTTTATTAACATAGACATAACTACATCAACATTGAATTCTTACAAATACATTGAAATATGACATGTTTGATTAAACATAAAAGTATCTTTTGAAGAAGAGACAAGACTCGAAAACAATATTAACAATCATCGTAATCATAATGATGACGACAATAGTTTTTGTAATCTATAAATAATATGTTAATTCTTTAGTGTTCATTAATAGTCATTATTTTTTACAAGAAATTATAGTCTAACAATTTTTTTAATTAAATAAATATTTGATCTGTTAAATGAAGAAATTATATTCGACATTAATAAGAATTATGGTGTACAATACATAATTGACTGATAAAGAATTATCACTTAGTAAATCTATGACTGATAACATCGTTGTATATAATTATCTTCAGTTCATATGAGATGTTTTTCTCACCTCATTAACATACAAAATCTTGTTGTTTTTTTTTTGTATTTAAAATATGAGAACAACGAACTTCTGTGCAATATGAATTAAATATCTTCCTTATTAGTACGACTAAAGATACAAAGATTTAGAATAATATTCATCGAGTTACAGAAAATAAATTTCAAACGTTGAGCATTTTTACATTGGAAATAAGGCAGAAAAGACGTTTTTCTTCTCAGAGAGCTCAAAACTTTTGGCTTACTCCGTATGTACAATTTTGGATTGATTAGATGTACTGAAACTAATAATATCTATTTAAATGTACATTAAGCTAAAGTGAAGTTCCACGTCATTTTTTCAAAAGTAGTAATCAATCGTTTAGACTTAAGAGATAAGAGAAAGGGTTGTATCTACTTTTTTTCTGTTTTTCGTTGATTAGTTTCTGAAGAACTTATGTGCTTTAACTACAAAACAAAAGTAGATTATGTAAAATTTCTCATCAATATTGGGATAACAAATACTTCATTTATAGTCATGATGTACATGAATATGTATCCGATTTATCATTTAATATAAAAATTTAATTTATTTAATTATTAAAATTTCATGATTTGGAAAAATGAACTTGATATTTAACGTATGATTTTTGAATTTACATTTCACCAATAAAGTTTCAGTCACCTTCTACAAGTAAAGAAGAAGTTATCGTTGTGATTTAGACTATTTAAAATAAGAGATAGAACTTTTGCCAATGTATATGAACATCATATCTGTATTATATTGTCTATTATCTAAGTAATCAATTTATAATCTTCGAAAAACATCTACAATACTATATTTTATTTTTTAAACGTAATCAAAAAATATTATTAATCAGTCATTGAGGTTAGTTTTTTATTTGATCTTGATCGCTCTGAATGGATTACTATTCGTGACATATGAATGGAAACATTATGTTTTATTATTTTTAGTTATCAAAACAAAAATCTAATAATTATCTTTAAATATTTATTCGAAGATGCCTACAGTAAGATAAAAATATTAAATTATCATAAAAATGTATTGACTCGGCTTCAGTACAGAATATGTTTGAGGAAAGAAGATGATCATTATTATACCTAAATTTAAAAGTTAAATAAATCCCTCTAGGCAAGCCATTAGCAGCTAATATTTTA